TCTGCCCTGAAGCACCGCGTGGCACGGCGTGGCACCGCGTATAGCGCGTCCCCTTTCTGCAGGCGCACCAAGGCGCACCTGTCCGCGCTTCCTCGCTCCCTCGCCGGTCAGGCAGCCGGGCAGTGAGGCACCGTGCCAGGCGCCATGGCCGCCCCTGGCCGCCCCTGTCAACTGACTCCGAGGGCCGCCTTCGTCGCTCTGTCTCTCTCGCACTTATACGGGACGCCCCACGAGTGCGAGAGAGACAGCGCGACGACGGCGACCCTCGGAATGAGTCGACTGGCCCAGCGGAGGCAAGTCCGGCGCGGCCGCACGGCCCCGCGTGATCCTGACTGCATCGGGGCACTCGTCCCAGCAGACTGACTCGCTCTGTCTCTCTCGCACTCATGGGGTGTCCCGTATAAGTGCGAGAGAGACACAATGCTTCGGGATCGCTCGCCAGTGGACTGGACAGCGGCAAAACCGAAACGCAATGAGTGAAGGAGAAGCGCTTTGACGAGGGTGGAGGATCCAAAGTTCAATTTATGAGTGCAGCGCCAACCAGGTGGTTTTCAACAAAGGATATAACATTGTGCCAGGAGTTCTTTGTTGTAGCGGCGCCACACGACCAAACCAAAATCGGCATTCGCGTCGCAAGAAAAAGGCAATAACTCGATGAAACAAGAGTACGGTTGTCACGTCGCTGCTTCACTGCTTTCTTCTTTCTTCCGGCCGACCTTGACGTCAGCCAGCGTTCGCTTTCTGCGAGGACCGCCCGGACAACAACCTGTTGTTGGCCCGCCCGCCCCAGCCCGCCGCGCGGGGCCCCGCCCTGTTTCGGCAGTGCACGGCAGCCGAGACTGGAAGTGGTTTCGTTTGGCGCTCCAATGCGCTCCCAGCGACGGCAGAGAGAAAGACCGAGAGGCGGCCAGGGTGTGGTGTTGGTACGCGTGTCTCGGAGGCGTGATTTGCATACGGCGGCACTTCTGGACTTTCAGAGGTCCCCCTCTGCGACGCACCGCCCGGACCAAGCGTTTTGGCCGCCCGACTAAAAAGCCCGCCGCCTGGGCCCCGCAACTGTTTCCCAGTGTACGGGCTAGCCACAGACGGAAGTTTTGTTTGGCGTCCACCTGTGCCCCCAGCGGGCCACTGGAAAGTCCAGACGGCCACGTTGGTGTTGGTACCGTGTCCAGGTGTGCATTTGCATACGGGGCACTTGGTGAGCGGTTCCCAAACGGGCCCGACCTCTGACTTGGTTCCCCCTCGCCTCCTCCAAGCTTGGAGTGGCCCGTGTGACCTACATAGTGTCCACCTGGGACCGAAACCTTGCATGCTTCACCGTGTACCGGTTTCCACGCTGGGGCCACCTTGGTGTCCACCTTGGTGTCCACCTTGGTGTCCACCTTGGTGTCCACCTTGGTGTCCACCTTGGTGTCCACCTTGGTGTCCACCTTGGTGTCCACCTTGGTGTCCACCTTGGTGTCCACCCACACGGACCGTGCGTGTGCGCCTCGCACTTTAACCTCGAGAAGCTGTGAAATCCGCTCTGCATGTGTGGGCTGCTCTCAAAACTAATAATCGACCCCACGGCGGCCGACGGCCGGCCAGCGCAAAATGAGACTTTCCCTCGATCCGATTCTAATTTTTATAATGCCTCCATTCAGTTTCCGGCCGTTTTGCCGCTGGCGTGCGGTGGCCAGGTCAGGCCGGGGCATGGCGCGGCGGGGCGGGGCGTGGCGGGGCGTGGCGGGGCGTGGCGGGGCGTGGCGGGGCGGGGCAGGGCGGGGCGTGGCAGTGAAACCCGCCATCTCCACTAATTCCTCGGGGCTAGGAAATTGGGAGAGGGAGGGGGAGCATTGGAGTTGTCAGACGGGGATCGAAAAAGTCGCTCAATCATTTGCTTCGGACTCTAAAGCAGCCGCGTACTAAGATATGTATTTCACTTCATTCGTCGTTCGTTTTTTCGTTCATTCGCGCATTCGTCCACCTTCATTCATTCGCAACATTCACTCGGTTTAAAACTTTCTCCGAAAAAGAGTTTGATTACTCCGGAAGCGATTAATTATTTTTCGGCCATAGCGGCCTGGCAGCGAGTTCTGCACGAAATAACCCGATTTCGTTACTTTGTTCCTGTTGATGTGTGTGTGTTTTTTATGCGGCCCCTTTCCTCAAACAGGTATATTGTACCTGTCTTTCACAAGCGCCTTTAATTTGTCTTTGTCTCGTTTTTTTTCGTCTAATCGCCACAATACTCGGCCGCGTCCCGGGCGAGTGCGTGTGTCTTGGCGGGGCGGGGCGGGGCGGGGCGGGGCGGGTTATTCCGGCGCGGTCGCGACGAGAAAACTCGTGCGAAACAAACGACGGCGTCTCTCTCTGCCTCCCTCTCTCGGGTCCGCGGAGCGCCACACAATGATGCGTGCAGTCGCGAGGCGGTCGCGGCTCGCGGGCGGTCGCGGGTTCGAATCCCGAGCGCCGTCTCGCCGTCTCGCCGGCGCTGCCGTTTTCCCATCTGGCCGGAGTGCTGCGGCTGACGTGCAGGGGAACGCGGTGACGTCCTGCCCGTGCCGGCGGCGTGCCGACGGCGTGCTGGCCATTCCCACCTCGCGCTGCTCAGTGCTTCTGCCCAGGAGTTCCCCAGGGAGTGCTGCCGCCGTGCCACAGTGGGACAGAAGACCGGTGGAGGCGGCCAAAACTCTGGACGCGTTTTGAGCTCCAGAGTTGCTAAATGGGTCTCGAAGCGAACGTGTGACCCCACCAATGGATTGCTCCCCGAACGAGGAGTCCATTGATGGGGTCACACGTTTGGTTCGAGGCCTGTTTAGCGACTCTGGAGCTCCAAACGCGTCTGGAGTTTTGGCCGCCTCCACCGGTCTTCTGGCCCACTGTGCGTGCTGGCCGTGCTGGACGGGGTACCCGACCGGGCAGCCACGGGCGAGGAGGCCGCCAAGTTGTCCACGTCCTGGTGTGCCCAACCTCCAACGTTCCAAATTTCGCCGTCCATGAGCGTGAAGAGCTGCGTGGCCTCGACGGTGGCCACCCACACCATGGCATCCCATGGGCTCCCCATGGCGGCTCGCAGTGCAGTGGCGTGCGGCTTCCCAGCAGTGTCCACCCCGGCTCATCCTGTCCCTTCCCCACACTCGACATGAACGACATAGAAAGCGGAGGCCGCAGTGTCCTTCTGTGGCGTCAAGCCATGACCGTGGCCGTGATGGTTGCGCGGGGCGGGGCGGGGCAGGGCGGGCGGGGCGGGGCGGGGCGGGGCGGGGGGGCGCGCGGGCCGTCACGCGCCGCGTGCGTGTACCGGGTCACAGTGCGGGGGAGGGCGTGGTCTGTCAGGGGGAAGGGGGGGGGAGAAGGTTGGCGGCTGCCAAACCTTGTTGGGGGTCACTGACAGAGCCCAGGTGCCGCACTGCGCTTGGACAGGTCACTGACGGAGCCCAGGTGCCGCACTGCGCTTGGACAGGTCACTGACAGAGCCCAGGTGCCGCACTGCGCTTGGACAGGTCACTACAAGGGTCACTAGTTTCAGTCTCATCACTGAGAAAACGGCACAGTTCTTCGAGGGGGCACGGGCTTCCGCAACAAGTGCGAGTCGACGCCGCGAGGCAAGGCGAAGGCGCTGGAACCGCTGCTCTAATACAGTGCAGTGCGCGTTGCGCAACGGGCCACTCCGCACAGTGTGGCAGGCCGTCGCTCTGTCTCTGTCGCGCCGCACGGGACGCCCCACGAGAGCGAGAGAGACAGGGTAATGATAGCAGTGTCGGCGTCGACCGGGCCGCGCACAAGGAGACCCCTGTCTCCGTGGCCTGCCGTGTGGCCCGGAGGAAAGGAGGCTCACTGCGAAGGAAGTTCCAAACAGAGACAGGGCCTTTTCCTCATCAGTCCACACGCAACACCTCGTTTTCGGAGGGGTTTCGCCGGCCGTGGCCGCCGGCCAGACACACTGGAGGTGCGCAGGGGCAGTGGCCCTGTCTCTATCGCACTCTTACGGAGCGTGCCGCGAGTGCGAGAGAGACGGAGCGACGAAAGCGCTGAGGCGCGGTCCTCGGCGGGCCACTGCATGGCCACTGCATGGCCACGCCGTGCAGCTTTCTTTTCGCTCGTCCGCCAGCCGCGGCAGCCTGTCCCGCGGCAGCCTGCAGCCTGCGGCGCGACGCCTGCCTGCCTGCACTGCCTGCACATGCAGCGGCAGGCAGGCAGACAGACAGACAGACAGACAGACAGACAGGCAGACAGACAGACAGACAGGTAGACATAGAGAAAGAGAGGTGTTCCGTCCCGTCCGCTCGGTGCCGCGATGCCGCGATGCCACCGTGTGTGGCTTCTTTGTTTTTACCCCGCGCGTTCATTTGATCTTTCCCCGAAAGGGCAGTGCAAGTTTTTATCATGTTGTTGTTGCTGGCTCGTTGCGGGGAGCTTTCCTCGGTGCTCGCGTCCTGTTGGTCGAGCGGGGAGGGAGGCGGCGCGCGGCCAGGGACAGGGCCGACAGGGCCTGCTCGAGCACGAGCGGGATCGCATTTGCATCCATCCGAGGGCCAGCCAAGCCCGTATTGGCCACAAGGCGAGCACGGAGCCCAATAAAATGAAGGGAAAAGAAAAGACGACTGGAGGTGCGATCCCGAGCGGACATTCCAATCGCGTTCCTTTCCAAACTAAGCGCCTGCGAACTTCGGGGTGGGCCGCACCGTCGAGCTGGAGTGTGTTGCGGGCCTGCCTACCCGACAGCTCGCAGGCGCGCTGCGCCGCCGGCGACGCGGCAGCCGACTGTTGTCGCTCGGTCTCTCTCGCACTCATGGGGCGTGCTTCAAAGCAAAGAGGAGCAGTCGGCGGAGGCAGCAGGCAGCCCGCTACACGGCCGTGCGTCGTTGTGCTTCCAGGTCTCCACGACGCCGCTGGCGCTGCTGTGCGCGTGCGTCGCGCTGGAGGTGGCCGTCGTCGCCGCCGAGTACATGTACCGGCCGGCGCACGGCCCGCCCCACCTGATGCACGGCCACGGCCCGCACGGCCCCCACGGCCCCCACAAGCACCTGCCCTACGCCTCCAAGGGCCCCGGGGGCGGCGTCGGCAAGCACCCGCCCCCGCGCCTGCCGCCGCCACCGCACTACCACGGCCGGCCTCACCACCGGCCCAGGAAGGCGCCGCCGCCGCCGCTGTCCGCCGCCAGCCCCTGGAAGACCACGTCGTACAAGCCGGCGCCCTACAAGACCACCAAGGTGAGCCAGTGACCCGCCGCCAGGCCGCCGCCCGGACGGCACCGCGGATCGGGCCACCGTTGCTAAGCTCTTGTGTCCGCAGGAGCCGTTCCTTCTGCATGGCTCTGACGCGGACTTCGGCAGCCAGGCCGCCGTGCTGTCCGCCACCAAGACGGCCGGCACGCCGCTCACCTCCATCACCAGCAGCACCAGCCCGCTTCTCAGCGTGTCCAGCTCCCGACCGAGCCTCCACGGCCTGCACGGCCTGCACTCGTACAACGTCGTGAGCGACGACCGCGGCCCCATCCACACCATCCCGGCACCTCAGCTCAGTCCCGCGGACCGGCCCAGCCACCTCGCCGAGTACGTCGCCACTTCGTTGCGTACCCCACGAGGCCCTCCACGAGGACCTCCACGAGGACCTCCACGAGGCCCTCCACGAGGACCTCCACGAGGACCTCCACGAGGACCTCCACGAGGGCCTCCACGAGGACCTCCACGAGGACCTCCACGAGGACCTCCACGAGGACCTCCACGAGGACCTCCACGAGGACCTCCACGAGGACCTCCACGAGGACCTCCACGAGGACCTCCACGAGGACCTCCACGAGGACCTCCACGAGGACCTCCACGAGGACCTCCATGAGGACCTCCACAAGGACCTCCACGAGGACCTCCACGAGGACCTCCACGAGGACCTCCACGAGGACCTCCACGAGGACCTCCACGAGGACCTCCACGAGGACCTCCACGAGGACCTCCACGAGGATCTCCAAGAGGCCCTCCACGAGGTCCTCGAGGTGACGGTGTGTTGCTTGCAGGAGCCCGGCGTACGGCGGCGAGCAGCACGTCCTGCAGCAGGCTCTGCAGCACTCCCTGCAGCGCCAGGCCATCCAGTCCGCTCTCAGCCAGCTCAGCGCGGCGCAGGCCGCCAGGCCCACCGGGCCCACCACCGTCGCGCCCGTCTCGCACCACACGCAGGGCTACCAGGTGAGCGCCGCACGCATGCCGGTCGTTGGCTAGCTCCATGGGCCTGTGCAAGCTCCTCAACCCAACCCCGATCATCCATTGATACGAGTCAACGAGTAGTAATTAATCATCACGATGCGTCGTCCGGTCAGAAATGGCCGATTTGCAGAGTGCTTGACTACAATGTCCGATCTGCAGAGCGCTCGACAAGAACGTCCGATCTACATAGGTGCAGTTAAAAACGGCCGATCCTGCATTTTTGGCAGGGTTTTAGTTTTGCTCCTAGATAAACTATTTAGACGTTTTCAACTGCACCTATGTAGATCGGACGTTTAAGTCGAGCGCTCTGCAGACCGGACATTGTGGTCGGGCGCTCCGTAGATCAGCCGTTTCTGACCGGATGCATCGATCAGGCTTCCGAATTCACTGCGCTTGTAATCGCTGCTCGTGCTTTCGACGCGTCGACAGGTGAAGCACTTTGCGCTTCTTGACTTGGCAAGCCGAGTCGAGGCGACAGTCCCACTCATGCATATCTAACCAAACCGCAGCGAGCCGCTGTGCTGCCTTTAGCAACATTGTACTGCCCCCCTTCCCCCTCTCCCGGGCAATCTTTTAGCTCGCACTTGCAAGCATTTGTCGCGGCGGGAAGGGAACCACCAGTGGGGATCCCCCTAAGGGCCTCGCCGGGGAGAGTCCCGCGCCGCACCCAGCGCGGACCGTGGCGAAGTAACCGCGCCTAAGAGGCCGTGCTGACCGTGACCGTGCTCGCGTAGGCGGGGTCGGGACGACGTGGTCGTCGCCCTGTGGACCACGTAGCTGTCTGTGGTGGACACAATTAGCCGAGGGTAGAAACTCGTAGGGCGCGGCAGCACGGAAAAAAAGGATTAGTTGTGACAACTAACATGTTAGTTGAAAAGCGTCCAAAGAAGATTTTAGTTTCCACGACTAAAAGTTTGCTGCTCGAACGAATTTATAAGTTGGAACGACTAAAAAACTACAGTTGGCTCAAGGATAAAGTTGATTGTGCCTACACTATGTTAGTTGTGAGGATTAGACCGACGTCCGGAGAAAATAAACAGCACAGAAAATTCTGGCCGGGATCGAAGCTTCGGACCTGCGCTTGTAATCGCGCTGCCCACTGCGCGCGGACATGCTTAGGATCCGCTTCTTTGGAGCCTTTAAGTCGTCGCTTGCCCCTACTCGGCATTCTTATCAGCGCATGGCGTGCCCCCTGCTATCAGCTCCCCATTGTACTGGATCCCTCACCCTCTCCCGGATCTTTAGCCGCGTCGATACCTTTGAAGGTTTTCTTAAGGAAGCTTCTTTTCTCTTGACGCTCTTAGGCCTCACAACTAACAGCGCACCCACGATCAACCTTGTCGAGCAAACCCTGTAGCTTTGAGTCGTTCCAATGAAATGCTTCGAGCAGGACTTTTAGTCGTGGAATCAACCTTTTGGACGCTTTTCAATAACATGTTAGTTGACAACTAAAACTTTTGGCCGGAGACGCGAAGCTCGGTGCGTCGCGCCACGCCACGCCACTGCCGAGCACTGTCCGGCCGGTCTGAGGGCGGGCCCTGCAGCCGCGTCCAAAAAGCCTTTTTCCCGACCCACCCACGCTCTCTCTTTCTCTCTCTCCCTCTCTCGTCCCGCCAAACTCGGCAGTGTCCGCCAGTGTCCCATTCGAGTTCCCGCTCCATTCACTCATGGAGCGCGTGTGAGAGAGACAGCCTGGCTTATCGCCGCGGCGGGAGTGAGTCAACGAGTCGACTTGTAGCGGCACTTGCGGCATGCCGAGCGAATTTGGTGCTTCCCGAGAGGGCCGCCTCGCCAGGACGCCCCGGCCGGACTCCCTCACCGGGACTTCCCTGCCAGGACTCCCAGTGGGTGCTCCGCGGGCTCCGGTCAGACAGTGACCTCACGATTGCCGATGCCCTAGGTGTCCGAGCCGTCCACCGCGTCCCAGGAAGGGGTGGCCAACTTCTTCGCTCCGGACCCTGACCCCAGCCGCCCCACCCCCAAGGTGCGGCCCACCACCGACCCCTACTCGCTGCCCAGCGAGGGCCGCGGCCCACACTTCAGGTAAGCAGAGGGCCGCCTTTAAAAAAAGAAAAAAAGAAAAAAATTATGAAAGACACTTGAGTTAACATGGATGACTTTTTTTCAGCATCGACCCCCAGTTCGGCGCGGTGTCGTCCCAGCCCGGCTACATGTCCGCGTCCGCCAGCCTCTCACCGCAGGATTTGTTCCACCTTCTCAACGGTTTCCCGCTCCAGGGCCTCCAGGGCCTGCAGCCCCTCCAGCAGGACGTGCACGGCGTGCAGGGCGTGCAGCCGCACATCCAGATCATGCCGCACGGTACGCTCCCTGCCCACAGTGGGCCAGACGACCGGTGAGGCGGCCAAAACTCTAGACGCGTTTTGAGCTCCAGAGTCGCAAAATGGGACTCGAATCGAACGTGTGACCCCACCAATGGATTGCTCTCCGAACGAGGAATCCGTTGGTGGGGTCACACGCTCGCTTCGAGCCCTGTTGAGCGACTCTGGAGCTCAAAACGCGTCTAGAGTTTTAGCCGCCTCCACCGGTCTTCTGGCCCACTGTGCTGCCCCTCTCGCACTCATAGGGCACGCCACCGTGCCGTCGGGTGCGAGAGGGACAGCGCAACGGGCTCCCTCGCGACAGCCTCTCAACCTCCACGTTGTCCCGTCCGCAGGGCTGACCGGGGACACGCTGGCTGCCGTCCATCAGCAGCAGCAGCAGTACCTCCAGCAGCAGCAGTACCAGCAGCAAGTGCAGGCGGCGCAGTCCCTCCGCCAGCTGCAGCCCGCCGACTTCCACTCGCCCCAGGTAGAAATGGAAAACCCTCATTTCAAAAGTCTTCATGTTTCAAGACTGACAAGAGCCTGTGTCCAACCCTTCCTACCTACAGTACCAGAGCTTCGACTTCGACGAGCAGAGCTACCAGAAGAGCCTTTTCCAGGAGGGCGGTCAGGGCGGCCAGGACCACGAGGTGTCCGAAGACGCTCCCCGGTGAGTCCGCCAGCGAGTCGCAGCTATTGCAGCGCCGGTCGAAGAGAGAGGCGCTTTTCCCTGCGGACTGATTCCCCTGTCGCTCTGTCTCTCTCGCACCTGGGCGGCGGGCACGGCGGGCACCGTAAGTGCGAGAGAGACAGAGCGCACCGTGCGGCGAACCCCGTCCAGTTAACCGCACAGCCTTCTGTGGCGGTGCAGCGCCGATGAAACTCTCAGCAAAAGGCTCGGCGTGCCTCGGCGTGGCGCGCATTACAACGGAGACAACGGACACTTTCAACCAACCATCTGACAAACAAACAGATAAAAAGAGGGGGACGGGGGATGATGAATTTGCCTTTTCGGGGTGCCTCTTGTTGCCCTTTTTGTTTTGTTGTCTCATGAGACGTGCTCTTCTGCTTCATGTTCCAGGCCCAGTGTGCAGAGACCGGACCCTGTTGCACAGGTAAGCCGCCAGTCGCCTGAGGCGCGCACACTCTATTTCTCCCGAATGCACTCTGTGTACTTGGGTGGGGCGACAAGTACAGGTTTCACTGCGTGTAAGAGTCTTGCGTCAAACCTGTTGACTGTCAACAACAGTTGAAGCTACATTCATGACGCGTGACCAGGACCGCTCAGGCCGTTTCAGACAGCTCCACGAGGTGACGCGAATTACACGGTGCCAGCACCACATCAGCAAAGCACGGCCGCCGCCACCCCGCCGCAGGCCTCCAGGCTGAGCGTACCGTCGACGACGAGGCCAACGACGAGGCCGACGACGACGAGGAGTACGACGACGTGCCTTCCAGCGACAAGCAGGCCAAGCAGGCCGCCGCCACCCCCGCACCGCAGGCCTCCAGTGGCTCAGAGGTACGCGTCGAGCGTCAGCGGATAACCTAACCTAACCGAACCAAACCGAACCTAACCTAACCTAACCTAACCTTACCCAACCCGACCCAACCCAGTGGCGGCAGCGAGGATGCTAGCTCATTCCATCTCCTCTTCCAGGACGACTCGCTGCAGCAGCAGGTCGTGGAGGAAGCCGGCTCGTACGCTTCCGACCCCAGCCTCGTGACACCGTTCCGGCGGCAGCCTAACTCGGTGCAGGTGTCAGAGACCAAGGTGGTGTCCGACGCCAAGCCCCTGCCGTACGGCGCGAGGATCCGGCCCAAGAGGGTCGCCGAGGAGTAGCGTCGTTCTTCAAGGCCAACAGCTGGTGGAACGTTAAAAAAAATGGTATCGCTCTGGCAACGGACATGATTGTTATTTCTCCCCCAACGAAGACAAACTTGCACTTGGATTTTGAGTGAAGTAACTAAAACCGGGGCCAAACTCGAAGCAACAATACACGGTAAAAACGGTACCTGGTTTTCCCAGGAAGCCTATGGTAGAGACATAGGTGATTTCCAGGGAGTTCCTGGGAAAACCAGGAACCGTTTTTACCGTGTAATGCCCGTTGCCACAGCGAATATTTTATTTTCCAAAAACGATTGCCATACGTGACGGGGAGAAGGCTCAGCCATGGAGCGTAGCGCCGAGACGCCGATCCCTGTTCCTTTGTTACTTTGAGAAGTCGTGTGATTTTTTTCTCGTGTGCCTTAAGGGATGGAATGAATGTGTAACTTATTTTTATCGCCTTGTACATACGTGTGTGAATGTGAGAGCCCGTTTCTTATTTATTAATAACCTCTTGTATGGAGAAATGTTTTGTAACCAAATAAATTCGCACAAAGTGGTGCGACTGAATCGAAAAAGACTTACTTCTTCTCTTTTACGATACACTCTTATTTCCGTAATTCATAGCAAAGAAAACTCAGACACACCAAATGCCATTTTTCTGGCATGCAATCACGCACAGATGTGTGCTTTTTTCATCCACACGACTTTGTTCCTACAAACGCAAGCGAGATCCATCCCAGGTGAAAATATTGGGACTGATGAAAAGGTAGCAGTTGTGTAGACTGTTTAAAGGAATGAACACCTTTGGGCGCGGCGGCCGTATTAGGCTGTCTGATTTGCTTATCTTCGGAAGTTCTCGCTGCGCTGCAAGGCGTCCGCCCGGCTATCGCCGTTACTCCAGCTGCGCGCTGGTCGTCATTTCTAAATTTAGAGTCCAACTTCACTCGCACTTTTTAGGGCGAGGCCCAGGAAGGGCCGCTTATCGCGCGCGCCGTGGTCCGTGGTCCTTGCAAAACCGAAAACGAGGTATGGCGGTCCTGAGCCTCGCCTGCGTGCATCCCCTGGTAGGCTACCCAGCGGGCTCGCCCGCGAGTGCCGCCCCCCCCTTCCACAGTGGGCCAGAAGACCGGTGGGGGCGGCCAAAACTCTAGACGCGTTTTGAGCTCCAGAGTCGCCAAACAGGACTCGAACCGAACGTGTGACCCCACCAATGGATTCCTCATTCGGAGAGCAATCCATTGGTGGGGTCACACGTTCGGTTCGAGTCCCATTTAGCGACTCTGGAGCTCAAAACGCGTCGAGAGTTTTGGCCGCCTCCACCGGTCTTCTGGCCCACTGTGCCCTCCCCTCCCCTCCTCTCCCTCCGTCTCGCCGACGTCTCGCGCGCGCTGACTCACCTGCCGGGCAACACCGCGCCCGGCTGCCTCTGTTCATCGGTGTTCTACGCTGCCTGTAATCAGCCGCCAGGACACCCCAGAGGGGACATCCCTCGCGTGGCTCGCGGTTTGCGCAGGCGCGGGGCCGGACCGCCCCCACTCCGCTCTGCTCCTCCGAGGAGCCCCGGCGGGTTAGCCCAGTTGGTGCGCACTGTTCAAGCGATCTGGTTGTTTAAATGTGCAGTCGCGGGCCTAAACATGCAACAGTACCATTCTGTCGATCAACATGGAAGCCTCTAGGCACATCTTGGCCAACTTGGCCGTGCTGGCGGTCCTGGCCGCCGTGGCCCGAGCGGCCCCCTTGGCTCCCTCCTCGCCTTGGTGCCCGCCGATCACCGAGGGCTGCTGGACCTACTCGGAGAGTGACCTGGTAAGCTGCAACCCCAAAAGGGCACAGTCTGTGAGTGCCTTGAAATGCGTCGCTGATTTTCGGCCTGGAGTGTGACCGGGAAGCCCGCAGTCGCAGACGGACCGGCCTTTCAAAAATGGTGTCGCGCCCTGGAACTCCTGGAGCTCACACGGTAAAAACGGTACCTGGTTTTCCCAGGAAGCCTATGGTAGAGACATGGGCGATTTCCAGGGTGTTCCTGGGAAAACCAGGAACCGTTTTTACCGTGCATTGACCGCGCCAATATTTCATAGAATCCGTCATTTCTGACGTTCCGTGTGGTCGTTCTTCCGCCTCAAGGCCTCTCTTGAAATACGCCCCCACTGGAGGTGGGGTAGATTGGGGATGGCGGTCTAGGCGCAAACACTACGGTAGCAGGACAAGGAGTTTTTCCTACTTTTTCTGTTTCTTTAAATTTGGTTTAGGCCCGTTGAACTGCAACGTCCCAATACGGGGCTTTCGATTGCGTCATGGCGCACTCATTCTGCATCACCATCATCATAAGCGCTGCTAGGCCTATGCAGACCTTTAGCGGTTCGAGTCAGCAAGACACTCCGCCCCCCGCTCCGCAACCTCAGATGCGTAGGATTTCTGCATGGTCGTCATGTCCGTGCCGCATAACATAGACATCACGCATCTCAAAAGTTTTGTTGCGGATGACACTTCTCGCTGTATTTGGCTGATTAGACTATTTGCACGAATTGCTTGCTACAGAAATTAGTGTAATACAATATCGTGTCGTTTGCGTCCAGCGGCGCGGTGGCTTTCGTGAGTTAGGCGCGGTTAGGCGCATTCGTGTGTCACTAAGTGGTCATCATCGGAATCCTTCTCCCTCTTTTCCGAGCTTCGCTCCATAAGTTCGTTTAATTTTTCAGACTCGCCACGATCTACACAACACCCTCAGGAGGAAGGATGGTGAAGCCCATGCGCGGACCCTGGCCTACATCAAGGTTCGAAACGGGTCGCGTGTAGTTGTGCACCCGGCGAGGGTGTGCAGCACCCCGTTCCTCCGGCAAGTCGAGGACAGCGTGGAGGGCGAGACCCTGCAGTGCCCGGTGTGCATCCGGCTGCAGACCATCGAGGTCCAGGACCCGGTGACCGGCGGCCTCGTCGTTCACCAGCACCGGCTGCGGTCCTGCGCTCGGAGCCGGAGGCACGACCACTGCGTCGACCGCACCGACCCCGTCTGGGACCAGGCGGTCCTCGTCGTGAACAACACGGCCAAGGGAACGCCTCACCTCTACCTCCACGTCTTGAGCACGACCTGCGTCGCGGAGAAGAAGAGGAACCACGAGAACGACGTCTGAAGTTTAAAGAAGACTTTTCTCAACCCTGCGGCAGTATTTCACGCTCGTTGCCCATATGATTACCATGAATGTTACGTTTTATCAATGAAAGGTTAATTTTTTCGGACGAACTGAGGACGAATGCTGGAGCGACGAGGCACTTTGCACACGTTCGCGAGTCACAAGACTTTAAAACTGTCACTTCAATTCGTAGGGAAATATCATTGTCCAATGATCTTGTACTTTGAAGACTGGCCATTTCTTAAATGCTGGTTGCCTAAACCACCATCGTGTATTGTTCCAATTATTTATTTCTTAATTTATTTCTTAGTATTTAGGTATTTATTAATTTGTGCACAGGTGGATTCGAAGCACCAACAGCAGGAGTGCATCTCGAACCTGTCAAAAAGCCCATCTACTGTGACGGACTTTTCCTCCTGAAACGATGTCTTTTTTAACTCAATGTAACCAGTGTACCATTTTGATTGATATTATCAGTGCTCAAATGAAATGTGATTATGTGAAATTGTTTTTAGATTGTATCTTTACGCATTGAGAATTTTGCATTTCCGACACCCAGACTTCTCTTTTATTCACAACACCATAAATCAGATTACCTTTCCAGAAGTGTCTTTTAAAAAACGCACGAAAAAATATGGTAGGGTTTTAAAATCTCTGAGCCTGCAGAAAGTGCTGCAAAAACTTAATTTGCTTCAGAAGGAAATTCTTGGTTCGCTTAGTAGCAAGTTATTTCGTCTGTCAAAGTAACCAGTTCGCTGAGATTCCCTCGTAGGCTTGTTGTCAGTGTGTGCGTGAACACGAAGTGCTCAATTTCCGCCAAGCAGTCGCTGCGCCGTGAGACTAGGCCACCCATTCGACTGACGTAAGAGCACTGTACCCTGGTTGATGGTCCAAGGAGGGGGGAAAGGGGGGGGGGGGGAGCCGTGACCTACGCAAGTCGCATGGCCTTGAGCAGGAGTGGCGAGCGCGGAGTCTCGACGCCTGCACTGCCTTGGCGCTGCCCGCGACCGACTTCACGCACGCACACTTGTACAGTGCAGTGGCCGGGAGGTGATAACCGAGAGCAAAACGAACCAGAGTGGAAAAAGTCTGTTTATTTGTTGTTTCTAATCACTTTTCTCCGCGGCGCGGATGTTAGTACTCGCGGCGGCCGTAGAAGTCGTCCTCCTGGTCGTGGTGACGGTCTGGGCGAGGGGATGCGACGGCGGCGCCCTGTCGGGGGCGTCCGGCGGGGTGCTGCTGTTGCTGGGCTGTGCTGCCGGCACTGCCGTCGCTCCACTGCCACTGGCTCTCCTGGCCGTAGCTGTCGGCGTCCTGGCCGTGGGTGCTGGCGGCAGAGCTGCCGCCGGTGCTGCGGCCGACGACGACGCCGACCTGGCGGGCCTGGCTAGCCGGCTGGCTGCGAGCCGACCACCTGTTGCGCCCGCTTCCTGAGCTGCTGTCCCAAGTGCTGTCCCCGCCGACCTGGTCGACCTGGTCCTGGTCGTCGTAGTGGTGACGGCTGCTGTCCAAGGTGCTGCCGCTGTTGTGCCCCTGGTTCACGCCGCTGTTCCAGGCGTTGGTGCTGCCCTGGCTGCTGGCACCGTTCTTGCTGAACGAGCTGCCGCTGTTCTGGTTGCCGTGGCTGTTCCAGGCGTTGGTGCTACCACCGTTCTGGCCATAGGGGCTGCCGCTGTTCCAGGCGTTGGCGTTGGTCTGGCCTTGGTGGTTGCCGCTGTTCTGGTTGCTGTCGCTGTTCCAGGCGTTAGCGTTGGTCTGCCCATGGTGGCTGCCGCTGTTCCAGGCGTTGGTGTTGCCGTTGGTCTGCCCATGGTGGTTGCCGCTGTTCTGGTTGCTGCCGCTGTTCCAGGCGTTGGTGTGGCCGTAGGAGCTGTCGCTGTTCCAGGGGTCGTTGCTGTTGTGGTTGCTTCCGCTGTTCCAGCTGCTGCCGCTCTTGCTGTCGTCACTGGTCCAGGCGGTCCAGGTCAGGCCGTGGCTTCCACTGCCTCGCTGGGGGCCCTGCCCCTGGCCCTGCCCGAGGCCCTGCCCGACCTCCCCGTGGCGTGGGGCGTCGCCCCACTTGGGCCGCGCGAGGCATGACGCCACGCAGGCCAGCACGATTGTCACCTGCAACCAGACAGACACACAACATCATCATCATCATCATCAACGCTGTTAGGCCTGCGCAGACCTTTAGCGGTTCGAGACAGCAAGGCATCTCCAACCTCGCGCGGCCTCTCCGCAACCTCAGATGCGAGTCAAAAACGGGCTCAAAACTTCGAAAACGTTGTTTGTTATACCTTAATACTTATGTACGGGCCCTTATTATAATGCCCACTTTATTCCACTGAGACTTCGTTGCCGAGACAAATCATTTTCATCACAAGCAACCAACGAAACACCGCGGTCTAGTCCGTCGAAAACACAGGTTCGTTAGGACCGATATTGCTTACACGAAAGGCTACTTCGGGCCCAACAGAATGGCGACCAGTCAGACGAAAGGAAGCTACGCGTGCCCTCGGCGCACAGTGGGCCAGAAGACCAGCGGAGGCGGCCAAAATTACAGACGCGTTTTGAGCTCCAGAGTCGCTAAACAGGCGTCGAACCGAACGTGTGACCCCACCAATGGATTCCTCGTTCGGAGAGCAATCCATTGGTGGGATCACACGATCGGTTCGAGTCCCACTTAGCGACTCTGGAGCTCAAAACGCGTCTAGTGTTTTGGCCGCCTGCACTGGTCTTCTGGCCCACTGTGCGGCGCCCTCGGCCTGCCCGCGGCGCACAACTTACCACCAAGAGCTTGCGGTCCATGTTGTCGAGGGACTCGTGGATCACGAATGTCACCAGGGCCAAGGTGCCTCTCTTTATAACCAGGGTGCCGTGTGATACGACGGGCCCGTATCGCCGGCGGGGCGATTCCGCGCAGCGCCTCCTCGCCGTGTCTCTCTCGCACTCACGCGGGCCGCCCTTCGAGTGCGAGAGAGACAGAGCGCCGAAGGCACGGAGGGCCCGGTCCGAAAGCGCGGGGGCCGCGGAGAGGAGGCCGTCCACCTCGCACGAGAGGCCAATTGCACTCGGCGGACGGACTGGCGGCACTAGTCGGCCAGGATGACAGCTTGACGGCGCATTGCCTTCCTTCCGACCGCAAAGCGGATGCTTCTTCCGCGTTCCGGAAATCGCGTGCAACGCCGCCGTCTGCACCCCACACACGGCGGCAGCGCGAGCGTCTAGCGAGCTCGACGCAGTGGCGCCTCTTGACGCGGTCTGTTTTAGCTCTAGCTTAACCCGGCCCTGGCGGCCCTCTCGCACCGCGCCTTCGTGCTTCAATCGGCCTGGCGACAATGCCGGGGCCGCGAGGGAGGGGAGGGGGGAGGGAGGAGGGAGGCACCGCGGACCGATTGCGCGGGGTCGCGGTCGGGTCGCGCGTCCCGAAAACATTTCTAAAATGTCTTAGAAACTTTTAAAAACGCCGCACTTTTTCCCGCGCCGCCCTCACCTGGTGAGACGCACCTAGTCGCGCCTAGTCGTCCTCAGGCTCGGCCTTGATGATGCCCAGGCGGCGCGCCACGGCGCGCACCGAGCTGATGACCTCCTCCTGCACCAGGTTGAAACTCATGGCGAGCAGCGCGATGCCGAACAGGAGGTACAGCGAGCACAGGGCGATGGACACCTCGGCGTTGGACTCGACGCGCTGCGCGGGCACGAAGTCGCCGAAGCCGATGGTCGTCAGGGTGATGAAGCAGAAGTACGCCGAGTCCAGGAAGTGCCACTTCTCCCAGTTGGAGAAGAGGAAGGCGCCGCCGAAGATGTAGCTGACGACCAGGAACACGCACAGCCAGATGGGCACGGGCCGGATCTGGCCCGGGCCGCCCGGCCCCGCGCTGGACGCCGCCTCCCAGCCGCCCAGCTCCAGGTCCGCGTCCATGCCGAGGCCGTCGTCGACGCCGTGCACCGCCCGGAACAGGTTGCGGTTGATGCCGAAGCCCATCGGGGACATGATGCGCGGCGATGGCGCCAGCTCCGAGTGGTGGCGGCGGTGCGACGCGGAGCCTGCAAGCACGTGGGGGTCATGACCACGGTCGCGGTGGCGGCGAGGGCGGCTCACAGTGGGCCAGAAGACCGGTGGAGGAGGCCAAAACTGTAGACGCGTTTTGAGCTCCAGAGTCGCTAAGCAGGACTGGAACCGAACGTGTGACCCCACCAATGGATTCCTCGTTCCGAGAGCAGGCCATTGGTGGGGTCACACGTTCGGTTCGAGTCCTATTTAGCGACTCTGGAGCTCAAAACGCGTCTAGAGTTTTGGCCGCCTCCGCCGGTCTTCTGGCCCACTGTGCGGCTCGGAAAACCACCCTCGAGCACCGCGACATCGTCATCCTGGAGGCGTTACCGTATCCGCTGCTCCTCTGGGAACTCTTGAGCGAGTCCCGGACGGGCGGGCCCCTGACGGGCGGCCCCCGCTCGAAGTCGTGGCGCTCGGCGAGGCGGTGCTGCCTGGGCAGGGAGCCCCCGGGGCCCACCGAGGGTCCGCGTCGACGCCCCTCCCTGCCGCCCTCGCGGCCCACGGACTGGGCTCGCAGACGGCGCTGTCCTTCCCGGGCTGGAAAAGCCGGGAAAATGGAAAAGCAAGATTACGCTGGGTTTCCCGCCTCTCCAATAATGCATAGTGCAGGCTGCTTGCATATTTAAGCACGGGAGTATGATGTAGCATTTTTAATTGACGGTCTCCACTTTGATTTTATGCCAAGTTCGATTTCTTTGTCCGCTCGACCAATGTGTCGGTGGGAACAGGCAGGCAGCAGGGGATGACCGCGTAGTTTGATAGAGAGAGATGGAAGTCTGCCTTACCCCTGCCCGACTCCTCCCTGTCCAGGGCGTACTTGTTGTAGAGCACGGGACCGGGGCCGCCGGGGCCACCTGCGCCTCCACCTGGACAAGTCGAGCAAACTTTACTTCGCGAATGTCAACTTAGTTTGTTTGGCACACATGAAAATTGACCACTACACTCGAAATCGGCATCTTGAAACGAATGAAATTCATCAACTTAACTAAGAGTCAGTCTCACTCGCCAAGTGTTACCGCACTGCAAGGTGCAAGTGCGTGAAGTGTGCACGCGTAAGGGAGGAAGCGGCGCCAAAGTCGCGCCAATGAGTGAAAGCGCAAGGAACTTTATTATCAATCTACGCAAGTGAGACAAAAACCGACAAAAAGAAAGGAAACAATTAATCTCTGGGCGTCGTGAGTCACGGTCCGTGCATGGCAACTGAGCGCCTCCACACGTGTTTCTGTTTCTCCCACGATAAGACGCATACCGCCGCGCATACTACAGTGCAAGTGGGACGTTTGGTCCTATTCGACAACCGTTTTTTTGTTTGTTTTTTTATTGGGGGGGGGGGAATCTTAGTTTATTTACTATGCTGTCTCCACTTTGTTTTTGCTCGTAACGGCTTATGCAATTCAAAATTCAAAATTTGAAATTGTTTGTGAAAATCAGACTCTTTTCAGGAGCAGAGCGCTTGGCAGTGCCCTCAAGTCAGCTTCTCAAGGCAGGTCAAGAGCGCCTGCGAACCGGAGGGTGGGCCGGAGGAGTTGCCTGGAGGCAGCGGTCGCGAGCGCACCGTCCTCCGGCTACCTGGCAAAGGGACGCGAAATCGGTCTTCCTCCGCTGGGACGACCGTCGAAGCAGGCAAAACTGCACGCGGCGCGTAGCGTACCTGGCAAAGGGACGCGAAATCGGCCTCCCTTGGCTGGGACGGCCGTCGTTTCAGGCAAACTGCGCTCGGTGCGCAGCGCGTTGGTGCGAGGCGAGGACCGAGCCGAGCCGAGCCAGGCAGCCGCCCGCCGGGCTAGCCAGTGTTGTAGGGTGCCGCGAGTCTATCTATCGGTAGGGTTAGAACTAGTGCCGTGCTACCGCCCACATCCTGAGGATACCACAAACTCAGCACCGAGAGACGCCGTCGCCGCGCCGCATCGCCCGCCCCAACGCCGAGGACGACGCAACGCGAGGAGAGAGGGACACCAACCAGCCCAGCCAGTGCATCCAACGCAGCGCGCGGGCCCCAGCGAGAGGGAGTGAAGGGGGGGAGGGGCCTCCCCGCCCCCTCCAGCGCAAGGTCTGGGGTGACCGTCGGTCACCCGGGGGAAGGCCCCCCAGAGTGTTTTCAGGTGCGGCGTGCTGGCGAGTGGCGCCTCCATCGTCCTCCAAGTTTCCGGTTTGAAGTTCGAGGTTCCAGCTTGCTCGCTTATCCTCGCGGCGACGGTAGTGCGTTTGTGTGGTCGTCGCTGTGTGCTGCGGCAGGCACTGACTGCTCCAGGCGCGCGGCAGTGCCGGGCCTACCAGGTTCCGGTCTTGAAAGCAATGGGACACTTCAGTTTCAGCACCGGCACGCGATAGTCCCAGGGCAGAGTGTGTCGACGAAGTGGTCGGACCGACAGGAGTCAGCTGTCGCTGGAGCTCAGGCAGAAGGGCTGATTATGTTGTATCGGTCAAGGGCGAGCTGCGGCGGACAGTGGCGTGCGGAGAGAGGGCGGGGCGCGGGCCCGAATCCCTGCGCCGTGTCGACGTCATCGAGGGATTCCCGGCGCCGCGTTTTGGCAACACAGGCGGTGCACCTCCGGCAGTGCTACACGGTTGCTGTATCCGCGCGCCCCAACAACATAACCCTATCTCGGTTCTGTCCATATCCGCTTTCCCTTCTAGAGTTCTCCGCGAGACGCGGTCGGAAGAGGCTCCAGCGCGACCCAGGGGCGGGCCTTGCAGTCACCGCGAGACCAACAGCGCGACCGCCACCATACGGACAACAGCCCAGCCCGACTCCTTGCGACCGAAGACCAAAATCCGCGATTTGTGTCCAGACGAAGCAGCGGCGGGGGCGCTTACGGACGGTCCCCAACAGCGGTCGCTAGCAGTGTGTCCGCCGTTTCGCGCCCACCATGCCAACTACCGGGAAGGGGAGGGGAGGGGAGGGGGCCGGCGGGGCGGGCCGGTGGCCTGCCCGATCCCACGAAGTGCAGCCGACGGCGCGGAGCCGGAGCCGGGCCGACCTGGGCCTGGCTGCCGGAGGATATGACAACTTTACAGTATACAGGTGTTCCCCAGCCGCATTGTTTGTCCGCTGCTCCTTTCAGACGCGAATGCCGCCGAGGTTTCGGCAAGCCTGGGCCTGCTGGTCTGGCCAGCACGTGGCGTAGGTTGCTGCTCGGGCAACGACCCGGCCGAGTTCTGCTGCGGGGGAGGCGGCAGGGAGGGTCAAAGCGACGGTTATTTTTCGCGAATATTGCAGGTATACAACCAGGAGTGTAGCTGGCAGCTCGGCGTGCTCGGCGTTGGGGTGCAATCGGTCGGTGTACCTACGGCTGGCTAGCCTGTCGGCGCCGTACCGGCGGCAGCAAGGTCGCATGAAGAAAGGAGAAGGGCGAAGAACAAAACTTAAAAACATATCGCCAACGCACCACGACAGAAGACAAAGAAGAAACCTTCTCTGTTCCCAAGAACTATGGGACGAAGCAGGGGGGTACCGGACTCGGTAGTGCTCAAAGAGGCTGTTCCGGGGCGGAGGTCTACGCGACCCCTTTCGGGGGAACATAGGCCCCCAACCCCAAGGACTGGTACTGCGAGCCGGAGCGTGCAGCCGCTGAGGTTCCCTCCGCCGAGGTAAAGTACCACCTTAGTAAGGACGACCTTGTCCCGTTTTGCAGTGCAGGCGGGCATGTGTCGGGCCCGAAATGGCATACGATCATATGTGGTCCAGCCCTTGATGATGATGATGATGATGGAGGGTGGGCCGCACCGTTGCGCTGGAGTGTGTGGCGGGCCTGCCTACCCGACAGTTCACAGGCGCTCTTCTCCCGGTGGCGGCGGCCAATATTGTAACCAATACATTTTGAAAAACGCAAGCTTCGTTAGTAGAAACAAAATGGAAGAAATTCGGTTACTTTAATAAAGACTCTCTCCTTCCTTCCTCCAAAAAGAAGCGGCAGTCGAATGGGACAGCGCCTGCGAGCGGCATACGATCATGTGTGGTCTAGCCTTTAGTGGTAGTGGTAATGGGGGGACGGGCAATCCCGCAACACACGGCGCGGCCTACTCCGCAGGCGCTCGTAGGGCTCCGCTTTCGTCGCGCCCACCTACGGGGAGCGCCCCACGAGTGCGAGAGAGACGGAGAGACGAAGATGCGGTCGGGGCCTTACCTCCGGGCAGGCGCGGCTCTGCGTCCGCGTAGCGCGGCGCGGCCATGGGGGCGGCGGTCATCGGCGGGCCCAGCGACGCGCCTCGGTAGTCGCGGTACCCCGCGTCGCGGTAGCCCCCGTCACGGTAGCCCACGTCGTGGTCCTCGTCCGGGTACCTGGCCAACAAATCACCCGTTAGGCTGCTACTCTACAAACTGAAGTGTGTACTCAGTATGCATCTACAGATGCATCTACAGATGCATACTTGCAAGTACACACCTACAGATGCATACTCAGCTGAGTACACATCTGCAGATGCATACTTGGAGATGTTAGGTATGCATCTGTAGGTGTGTACTCAGCCAAGTATGCATCTGTAGATGTGTACTCAGATAAGTATGCGTCTGTAGGTATGTACTTGCAAGTATGCATCTGTAGATGCATACTGTGTACACACCAGTTTGTAGAGTATGCGGTTCGGCGATGGCCGACTGCTGGTGCTGACCTACCTGCACTCGGTGTCGGAGTGCGAGGCGCGGACCACGCCGTGCACCGAGTGCAGCACGGCGTCGGCCGACCGCGTGGACACGCGCCCCGACCGCCGCGTGGAGGCCAGCCGCGACCTGGAGGACGCCGGGCGCGACCTGTTGACAGTGGACCAGAGTGAAGATACCCCCTGCGCCCTGCGCCGGGAAGGCTCGCGCGGTTCGCGCGGCGGCGATACCCCTTGCTGCTCACCTCGCGATGCGGGTGCCGCGCCGCGGCTGGGGGCTCTGAGGCTGCGGCTTGCGGGTACACACGTAGCAGCACACCCTCCAGTACAGGAAGCGGAACGACTGTGCCATCACGTCGCCGATGTTGGACAGGCACAGCAGCATGAGCGGGATGCCCAGGATGGCGTAGAAGATGGTCACCACCTTGCCGATGTGCGTCTTGGGCGCGATGTGGCCGTACCCTGAAGAAGATCTTTTCTATACTTGCTGTCAAGTCAAGCCTTTACCAACTATGAAAGCATCGGATCCGTTGAAGAGTCTGTTGTAACCACCATCAGTGGCGGATCCAGAGTCAACCCAAAGGGGGGGGGGGGGGGCAAAGTAGCACTTTTTGCCTACTTACAGGGGCAAAGTGGTGCTTTTTGCCTATCTTTCAGGCGGCTATCTAGGGGTCAAGCAAGGGGGGGGGGGGGATTGTCCTTTTGCCTCCCCCCCTTTCCCCCGATCCGCGCTTGACCACCATTGGCATGTCAACCGCGGTTCTTTGAAAATACACCTGTTTTATTTGTCTTCCCGCCGCGTTCCACGTGGCCCATCCTTCCGAATTTCACGCGTGCTCATCATGGGCAACTGGAGGAAAGGCACCACTGACCTAGAGACCCCGAGCCGAATCTCTGCTCTGGCCGGTTCACGCGTGCGCGGCTGGGCGCTGGGCGGTCGTCCTTGCGTCTGTCCCGCCTGTCCCGCCTGTCCCTGTCACCGACCGGGAAGTCCTGGCCGTGCCCACCGGACGCCGCGGCATCGTCTGCGCCGAGACGCCCGACCCGAAGTCGCGTTCAAAACACCCGAAGTCGCGTTCAAAACACCGGAAATGTCGCCGCCGGTACCTAAACTCCGCCACTGCGCCAAAAAATTCGCTCCGTCGTATTTTTTCGCCGAAATTGAGGCTTACGGGACGAGCTGGACCCCAATTCATAAAGTTTCACTCGAAAATCACCGAAAGCTCAGGCCCAAATTTCAAAATGATATTTCCCCCACTCAGTGTATTGCAGCTGCTGTCTGAGACGGTCGCTCTGTCTCTGTCACATCTGTACGGGACGCCCCATGGGTGCGAGAGAGACAGAGCGACGAAAACAACTCTCGGAATGAGTCTGCCGGCGAGCGATGCCACGCAGTGCCGCCGTGCTTCCTTTTATTCCAATCAGTCGGAAGATGGATGACACCGGGGCCAGGTTCGCGCGCTCTCTGCAGCCGCTGCCCTCCGGTCGCTGTGACCCCGCGGAGCACCCCGCCGCGCCGCGCCGCGCCCGCCCCGCCCGCCCCGCCCCGCCCCGCCCCGCCGTACCACGATTCGCCGTGTTTTGCTCGGCGATGCGCGGTAAACTGGTTCCACGAGGCACCCCGCGGTGGGGCGGGGGGGGGGGGGGCGCGGCTTGGAGATGGCCGCCGGGGACTGCATAGGTAGAGACGCGCACGGCCCGCGCGCCAGTCCGCCGTCCACGCTCTGCCGACCCGGTCACACAACGACACTCCAGACTCCACCATGAACACTCTCAGGTGAGGCTTTGTGTGTGGATGTGCGCGAGCCGCCGGGATCCAAAGCCAAAGGCAGGCTAAAGGCACCTTCAGGCCGCCGCACAGTGGGCCAGAAACCGGCGGAGGCGGCCAAAATTCTAGACGCGTTTTGAGCTCCAGAGTCGCTAAATGGGACTCGAACCGACCGTGTGACCCCACCAATGGGTTCCTCGTCCTGAGAGCTATCCATTGGTGGGGTCACACGGTCGGTTCGAGTCCCATTTAGCGACTCTGGAGCTCAAAACGCGTCTAGAATTTTGGCCGCCTCCGCCGGTTTCTGGCCCACTGTGCGCCGGGTTCGCGTTCACGCTCGCGTTCGCCGTAGTCCCTTGGACTCCACACGGCCGGCGCCAACGGGGGCCTCCAGTTGCCTCTCGGCGTCGACTGATTCCGAACTGAGCGAGCTCGCTCTGTCTCCCTCGCAACTCCCGCGGAAAGCGCTGTGAGTGTGAGAGAGACAGAGCGACGAAAGCCCTGTTCGGAATGATTGCAGGGAGCTTGCAGCCAGCAATTGGGCAGGGCAGCCGCACGCGCCACGCGACGTCGCAGTGCTGCCTCACTTCTTTCTCTCTCTTCCTCCTGGTCCGGAGAGAGAGAGGGAGAGAGAGAGAGAGAGAGAGAGAGAGAGAGAGAGAGAGAGAGAGAGAGAGAGAAAGAGAGAGAGAGAGACAGCGCGCAGAGGTCGAGGACCCAGCGCGTCATGCTTCCTGCGACCACCACATGCAACGCGCCACGCTAGGCCAGGCTAGGCGACAACTCGCAATATCAAGGCGCTTGGAAGAACACTTGTTGCGACGACGAGAGGAATGTCGTTTTTGCCAAACCGGAACCGGGGAGAGATAGTGATTATTTTTGCCTTGCTAGCCCGCCTGCATCCGGCGTGACGAATCGACGAATCAAGGCCCCGGCAGGCGAGGGGAGAGCCCCACTTCAAATTTTTGGTGTGGGCGCCACGCGTGGTGGGTGTCGCCATGGTGGGCACCACTATGGTAGATACACCGCAGGAAGTGCAGTGCGGGATGCAAGTGCAAGTGTGATATTCCTTCGTTCCGGACCGAGCCTGGCCTTAGGCCTGGGCTTAGGCCTAGCCGAGCCGAGCGGCCTGGGTGACCGAGACCTCCAGCGTACCTGCTTGCCCCTGCTCGCCCCTCCCTCCGCGTGGTGACTTGGCGGCTTGGACCCGCTGCAGCTTCTGCCGGACCGGTCCGCGTTCCGCTCCGCCATCCCGGGTTGCGTAATGCCCTGCCCCTGTCACCGTCTCGGGTTCAAGTACCACGCTCGCATCTTTATTTGTTTACGCGACAATACCTCGCCGAACCCATATGTGGCTTGAAAACGAGAAAACGCTGCTTCCAACTTCGCATTCTGTCATTGGCGGCAACCTTGTTTACGCACCTACACTTTGGGAAAACCCAAGGTCGTGATGAGACGCAGCGACCTTGGGAACAACCGCTCGCGGGCAATGAGCTAAGTCCGGGCCGCTTCGCGTAATAACTCTCGTTGTCTTTGTTTCGCCTCAGGATTTGCGTGCTGACCCTGAGCCTCGCGGCCGCGGCCCTGGCGTACCCCCAGTACACCGCCGTCCAGGTGAGTCGTCCACATCCCTGCCTTGACCCGCATCGCGCACGCCGATCGGCCGATTCTAATTCACTTGTTTCGTTTGTTTGTCTGCAGGCAACCCTGGCCGCGGTGTGCGAGCTCAAGGCCGCCACAGGTTCGACCGGTAAGGCCCTGTAGGGACAGCGGCGACAGCGCAGGCAGCACGGGACCATCTTGCGGGGGGAGCGTGTTGTTTGGCCGCGGACTTATCGTTAGACGCGTGAACCGGAGGCCGGAGGCATGTGGCATGTGCACGTCCGCGTTCTCGTTCGCCGGACTGATCGTGCGACCCTCTTTCCTTCCCACAGTTAGCGGCCAGGTGCAGCTGCTGCAGTCGTCCCCCGGCTCCCCCGTCAGGGTGTCCGGCCTGATCCACGGCCTGGGCCCCGGCGAGCACGGCTTCCACCTCCACCAGGAAGGCAACCTCGGCGACGACTGCAAGGCCGCCGGCCCCCACTTCAACCCGGCCAAGGTGCGTCGCGGCGCCGTGCCGCGCCGTGCCGCGCAGGCAACCCATCGCGCGCCGGCGTGCCGCGTGCGGCCTGTGTGGCGGGCTGGCTTTGAACAGCACTCCGTCGCTCTGTCCCTCCCGCGCCGCCGCGGCACGTCTCACGAGTGCGAGAGAGACAGAGCGACGAAACCGTCGCCCTCGTCACTGACGGCCTTGTTTGCCTGCAGGTCCGCCACGGCTCCCCCTCGGACGCGTCCCAGCACGCCGGCGACTTCGGCAACATCGTGGCCTCGGACCAGGGCGTCGCGACCGTCGAGTTCCAGACGCCGCAGGTGTCGCTGGAGCCCAACGCGGTCAACGGCGCCCTGGGACGCGCCTTCGTGGTGCACGCCCTGCCCGACGACCTCGGCCGCGGCAACACCGAGGAGTCCACCAAGACGGGGTCCGCCGGCGCGCGCGTCGCGTGCTGCATCGTCACCCAGGCCTACTCGGCCTAGGCGACACCCACCCACCACACCATCCCCCATCGCTGTCCTCACCCACCAGCCTTCCAGACCAGCATGTCCACGCCGCGGAAAATAAGTGCCTAGTCTCTCATCGCCCTCCTTCGTTACATTTTTATTAGTCTTTAATTCAGTCACTGAATAAAACGAATATTTATTTGTGTCATGGAGATGAGCGAGTTCTTTCCCCAATCCGCCCTCTTTCTCTTTCTCTCTCTCACTCGAGATCTGCGCACACGAGGTTCGGGGCACTGAAACTAACCGCGGACTCGGAAATGCTGTCAACACTAAAAGTCGCTCGGCGGTAAACATCGACCTGAGGAGAGGCAGGCCGACAGTCCGGCCTGACCCACAGCTTCCCCGTCGAAAACAGACGCACTTACACACCTCTCTTCTCGCGCCCACACACGCACACCACTCACACACGCACACTCACGCAGACACCACGCGTACACCAACACCTCGGAAGCCATTTGGCGGGCATGGGCTCCGTTACCCTTTCCCGGACGAGAACACACATCTGCCCGTTTTCTGTATTTCGGCGGTTTGCTCCGTCCTGTGGCCCGGCATTGGGCGGACTATGGGACCGCGGGGGCCACGGGGGCGGGGAGGGACAAGGCCGGCGAGGCCCCCGGGGGGCGTGTTCGCGCGTCCGCGTGGCGCCGCTCGGCGGGCAGTGGCGGGCAGTGGCGGCGACGCGGCGAGTGGGGGCGTCGGTCTTTGTGACCGACCGGCCCTGACCGGCCGTGACCGGGGCGGCGACGGCCGCGGTCACTGCCTCGCTCTGCAACTGGGGCTGCGGAGCACTGCGGAGCAAGCACACTCATTCCACACGGCGTCCGTCTCTCTCGCACCCCAGCGGACCACCGGGCCACCCCATGAGAGCGAGAGAGACAGAACCGCACAGTGGGCCAGAAGACCGGTGGAGGCGGCCAAAACTCTAGACGCGTTTTGAGCTCCAGAGCCGCTAAATGGGACTCGAACCGAACGTGTGACCCCACCAATGGATTCCTCGTTCGGAGAGCAAACCATTGGTGGGGTCACACGTTCGGTTCGAGTCCCATTTAGCGACTCTGGAGCTCAAAACGCGTCTAGAGTTTTGGCCGCCTCCACCGGTCTTCTGGCCCACTGTGAACCGCGACACCGCTGTGCTGCGCTGTGCGGAGATGGAGCGCTCTCAGTTAGCTTCCGCCATCCCACGCTCGCGTTTCGCTTTCGGTCGCGGGGATTAAGTACGGCGATGCCGCTGCAGGCTGGCTCTGTCTCTCTCGCACTCGTGGGCGTTCCGTAGCGCGTAGCGGTGCGAGAGAGACAGAGCTACGGAGCAGCCTGCTGCGCTCCACAACGGCGTCCTCAGCGGTCCTGCCCTGCGGCCTCGGCGGCCTCGGCGTCCTCGGACACGGTGACCTGCCCGAACAAAGAATCCAAACGGCGAGGGAAGACCGACAAAGTTACGGTTGTCGTCTCTTTCTGTCCGGCCGGGCCGGGTCGGGCCGGTCGAGGCGGTGGCGGTCACGGGGCGTCCTTGGCTGCACTCGGCGGCGTGTCAACAGCGTCCGAATCCAAATGGAGTCCAAACGGAGACGAGAGCAGCCGAGCGGCGGCGTCCTTGGCGACAGGTGCAGTCCGGCCGTTTCGGACATGAGAAATCGCTTTCGAAAGGTCCCACCGCGCTGCGCCGCCCAGCAGGTGTGGCATTTGGGCCGGGGCCAGGCGGCCCGCGTCTTGACCTGTGTCTTGACCTAGGCCAGCAGGGCCCGCACCGGAATGCCCTAAACGCGTGCCGGGCGGGGCGTCGCCGTGGCGTCGCGGAGCAGCGCGCCGAGCGCCGACTGTGTCTCAATGGGACTCGGCTCGAAAACAACGGTACGCACCCGCTAGTTGGATTGCCTAACGATTGGACGACTGCGTGCGGTGGCGCTACGACGGCCACGGACTGTTTAGCATATCGGTCCCCATCGCCCACACTCCGCGGAACTTTCCATAAAACGGCAGTGTCCGTGAAAAGGCGGCGACGGTAATTAATCCCTCTGGGATTCCCCCGCCCCGCCCCGCCCCGCCTCGCCTCGCGCTCCACAAAGGCAACCGGGGCGCGGATCGGATCGTGCCCGCCAGCCCGGGGTCAGGGCCTCTCGGTCGGGGCGGCGGGGCGGCGGCGCACCGCGGCACGCCTCGCACTCCGGAAGCCGCGCTCGACGGCCAGCACGCCGTTTGGCACCTCGGCCAGCACGGCCAGCGCCAAGACGCCGAGCCGAGCGGCCGTTGCGACAAACACTTCCAGTGTCGAACCTCCGCAAATCCAACTTAATTTGGTTTGCCCGGCAGGCACTGATACCCGCCGCTCTGTCTGTCTCTCTCGCGCGCGAGAGGGAAGCCCCATGCGTGCGAGGGAGACGGGGCGATGCCAGGCGAGGTGCGCCGGCCAACCTGGCTTGCATTCCAGTGCCGAGTCATTCCTGGGCGCGCTCGAACCGCGCAGGTTGATGATCCTTTGCTGCCCCCCCTCCCCTTCCCTACAGCGGATCTGCATAAGAGTCCAGGCGCCGCGCGCGTCTTCTGCGGCGGACAGCGCGGACAGCGGCCCCTCAAGGCCGCTTCTCCCTGCCAGACAGGCGGACGGACAGGCGGACGGACAGACGGACGGACGGACGGACGGACGGACCGGCATGAAGGAATAATGCTAGGATGGCCGGCGAGCGCTCGCGCGTTTCCGGTGTGGATTTCCCCCAGTTCCCCCACGGCTGCAGGCCGTGCCAGCCGTGCCAAAGGACGCCGTCGGTTTGATTTAAACGATCGACGCGGCGAACCAGCAGCCGACGATCGAAACTCCGGCTAAGGTTGAGTCGAATCGACGTTGAAACGCAGCGTCTCGATTGGACTGGCCGCACTGGAGCCCTCTCGTAGACTCGTTGCCCTGCACGCGAGACTAAACGCGTCCTCAGCGAGACCACAACAAGGCTGCCTCGGCCGCCGGCAGCAGGCTCGTTTCGTCGCTCTGTCTCTCTCGCACCCCTCCGAGACGCTCCGAGAGAGAGAGAGAGAGAGAGAGAGAGAGAGAGAGAGAGAGAGAGAGAGAGAGAGAGAGAGAGAGAGAGAGAGAGAGGGAAAAGCGAGATTCGGAATCAGTCTGCAGAGCGCCTTGACGCTTCCTCGAGGTGTGGAGTGATGTGTCAACGGCTGCGACCGCAATGCCATGGCCCGCCCGCACCGGGGTCTCGCCGATCCTCGTCGACCCTCGAAGTGGCGGTCAACGGATACCGCGGCCACGGGCGGAATTGGGACCGCAACGCAAAGCTCGATGACTTACTAATGAAACGAGAAACTTGGTGGTGCTCTCATTCAGACCCAAGCACGGACTAGACTCTCTACACCGTGGACCCGAGGCATGCCGTCCATAGCGCCCGGCGCGGTCGGCAATGGCATACGATCATGTGTGGTCTAGCCCTTAATGGCAATGGCCCGGCGCGTGGGCCGCGCTGCCGAGCCGCAGTGTGGTGCGGTACTGCCGACCCTCCAGTTCGCAGGGGCCACACAGTGGGCCAGGAGACCGGTGGAGGCGGCCAAAACTATAGACGCGATTTGGGCTCCAGAGTCGCTAAATGGGACTGGTACCGAACGTGTGACCCCACCAATGGATTGCTCTCCGAACGAGGAATCCATTGGTGGGGGTCACACGTTCGGTTCGAGTTCCGTTTGGCGACTCTGGAGCTCAAAACGCGTCTAGAGTTTTGGCCGCCTCCACCGGTCTTCTGGCCCACTGTGCAGGGGCGCAGCAGGGCGCAGCTCGCGGAGGGCTGACGGCCCTGCCGCCCTGCCGCACAAGATGGGCGTGCCGGGCGAGGCGCGTGAGCGGGGCGTCGGGCGGGGCGAGCGGACGGGCAGGTGGACCGGGCCGCCTGGCTGCGCTGCGCCGCGGCTGCGCCCGGCCTGCAGGAGGCGCTGCCATAAAAACCACTGGAGCCCGCGCGCAAGGTCCTAGTATTGTTGCGGCCGTCCAGCGAGAAGCAGCGAGCAGCGAAGCAGCGAAGCACTAGTGCCGCACCAGAGTGCTGCGGAGACTCCGACCGCGTCTCCTACCACCATCTTCGCATAATGAGCCGCTACGTGCTGGTGCTGGCCGCGCTGGCCTCGGCGCTGGCCTCCGCCAAGGCGGCCGACACCTGGAGCTGGCCCGACGGCCAGCAGCGGCGCGGCTCGACGCCGTCCTCGGCCGCCCCGGCCTCTGCCGCCAGAGACACCCCCGTGGCGTCGGGGAGGAGCGAGGGCAGGAGGTTCTTCGGCGGCAACAGGTGAGTAGCGCCCACGGCGTCGATCTCCGTCCCTGCCCTAGCGGCCCTTGCGGCCCTAGCACGCTGACGGTCGCGTGTCGCGTTGCCGCGCTGCGCAGGCCTCGCTACGAGATCGTGGACCCGGACAGCGACGACTTCACCCTGCCGCACCCTGAGGACCTCGCCCCCGGCCGCCCTCAGTCCCGTCCGCCCTTCGCGCCGCAGAGGCCGTTCCCCAACGAGCCCGACTACCCCCTCGGCAGCCCCAACCCGGGGTACCGGCCGCCGCGGCCTCTGCTGCCCAACGTCGGCCCCGTCGAGGTGAACCGGCCGCTGGGCGGCGGCGACCGCTACGACCCCACCAGCGTGTCCAAGTGCAAGTGCGTGCACGCCTTCAACTGCGAGGGCAACGCGCTGCAGTTTGTGAGTATGCATTTCCCCTGAAGGTGGCGCGACGTGTGCTTCCGGCTAACGAGGCGCGTTCCACGCGTTCCAGGGCTCCTGCGACGCGGGCAAGCGCTACTGCTGCACCAAGGAGCCCCGCGGCCTGGGAGCGCCGCGCCCCGGCGGCTACGGCGCCACTCCCGGAGGACCCCGCGGCGGCCCGGGCTACGGCGGCGGCTTCGGAGGCAGGCCCGCCATCCTGACCGGGCCCGGCGGACCCGGCAGCAAGGTCGGCAGATGAGTAGCATGGAGTGCACCTGATGTGCGTGCGCTCGCACACACGCACACACTCACACACACTCACGCACACACTCACTCACTCACACACACTCACACACACGCACGCACTCACACAGAGAGAGAGAGAGAGAGAGAGAGAGAGAGAGAGAGAGAGAGAGAGAGAGAGAGAGAGGGAGGGAGAGAGAGAGAGAGAGAGAGAGAGAGAGAGACACACACACACACACACACACACACACACACCACACACACACACGCCATGCCCATGTCGTCACGCACGTCATGCTCCGCATGGGCAACGGCCAGCAGTCGCTTCCTCATGATCCCAGCGCGCACTTTGCGATAGCTAACAAAACCGAAAATTAGACACTTTGTAAGTGTATGTTTCGGGGGAGGGGGGTGGAGCGTACTGTACATTACCTTGAGAAATAATTAGACAGAAATGAACTGATCGTTTCCGAGACAACTAAAGGCTGAATGAATAACGCGAAAAATTACCGACATCGTGTTTCTTTACTGCTCTGTCTCTCCCACGCCCGGAGGGGACGCCCCACAAGTGCGAGAGAGAGAGAGAGAGAGAGAGAGAGAGAGAGAGAGAGAGAGAGAGAGAGAGAGAGAGAGAGAGAGAGAGAGAGAGAGAGAGAGAGAAAAGGGGCGACTAAAGCACTGTTCGGAATCACCCTGGCGTCGCACTGCCCCCGTTTCCGATCCTCCCTCTCAGCCGCGTTGTTCTCCTGCACAGGGTGACTACGACCGCTACCCCTCTGGCGACCGCTACCCCGGTGGCGACCGCTACCCCGTGGCGACCGCTACCCCGTCGGCGGCGGCTTCCCCGGTTCGTCGCCGGGACTGCTGGTGGGGCCCAGGCCGACGTACTACAAGCCCGACCCCGCCGCCGGCTTCGCCACCAGGCCGGGTGACGGCCCTTACCGGGACTACGACAGCTACAACCGCGGCTACGGTCTGGGCCGCTCGTGAGCCTCGTCAGGCAGCCACCTTCCTAGGCACAGCCCTCTGTGCCGCCCAGTCTAGTCCAAGACCCACGTCAAGTTACCAGTCTCCGACGAGTGCGACGAGCCTTCAGCCCCCGACGCCTGCTTCTCGCCATTCACTCTCGTTCAATTATTTATTTTCACATTGTATCCATTACGATCTCAACATCATTGTTCCCAGCGAGTTTGATTGTAAAACCTGGGAGCGCCTGGTTTTTTCATCAACACATTGCCTTTGTGATTATTTTGAGATGTTTATGAGTAACGCTGTAGCTTATGAATAAGACTAAGTAACGTAATAAATTTTTGAAACAATGTGGTGTTTTTACTGCACCCAGTGCGGTCCTGCGGCCAGCTCACCGATTGTGGTGATGACGATGATGGAGTAGAACAGCGCCCCCGCGAAGGTCCACTGCACCAGCTTGAGGTCCTCGGAGCCGTCCCAGCCCTGGCTGCGCATGGCCCACACCAGCTCCTTCTCGAACAGCTTGAGCCGCTCGATGGCGGAGTGCGTCCAGTTCTCCTGGTGCAGCACGGCCGTGTCCGAGGTCATGGTCCACAGCCACTGCGTCACGTTGGACCTCCTCAGCGTCACGTTCTTCTTGACCTGCGCAGAGAAGTGCTGCAGAGCGCCCGCGCAGCCCACGGTAGGCAACCCAACCAACACGCACCTCCACCTCGTGGTCCTTCTCCAGCATCTCGAAGGTCATGGCGCCGAGCAGGCAGTAGGCGACGACCAGCGACACGAGGGTGACGTGGGAGCAGAGGCAGGAGCTGAGCTTCCAGACGTAGCGCCAGAACATGCCGCACTTGGAGCGCTCGGACTCGGCGTGGCCCACGGCCAGGGCGTTCGCGTTGGGCCGGTGCACCAGCTGCTGGTGGTGCTGGTAGGCGTAGCCGGGGCCGCCGCCGGCGTAGCCGGGATCGTAGCCACCCCTGTAGCCGCCGTAGCCGTACGGCGGGCCGTAGGCAGGGGCGTAGCCGGCGCCGGCCGCCGCCATGCCCGGCCCCGCGCCCGGCGGCCCCAGCGAGCCGTACGGTCCGGGGTGCCCGAGGTGACCCATGTGTCCGGGGTACGGCTGGCGCATGTCGGGGTGCATGTCGGGGTGCATGTCGGGGTCCGGGTCGAAGCTGCGGGACCGGGACAGCGGGCCCCGCCCCGCCCGAGGCCCGCGGCCCCCCGCCACCGCGCCGACGCTACCCTGTCCGAGACACAAAAACGTCCTATTAACAGTGGCGCCGGATTGGTCACCAGGCGCGCGGTTTGCGGTTGCGGACAACCACTTTCGGGGTTCCTTCCTGGTTGGGAGCATCGGAAAGTCATTTTCACAGTGGTGGCGTTGGCGTTGCTGCCCGCCCAGACGCCCTCCTTGGCCAAGTCCGGCGCGTCGGTGCAGCGGAAGCTGCCAATCCAATCTCTCGACGCGATCCTGATGAAGCGTCTGGCAGGCGTTCAAACCGCCGCCACCAAGCCGGCCAGCGTCCAGGAGGCCAGTCGCCCCGTGGCACGCCGACGGCACGCCGACGGCACGCACTGTCCCAGTCAGAAATGTGAGGCCTATAGGGAGGACTTCCTCCCGTGGACCAATGTGAAGTATAGTTGGCACGGCGCGGTGCTCGGGGTGTTCAACAAGGTGTGGCGGGATGGCGGGACTATGAGCCTCACTCACCGGATGCAAGGGCGATCACTGCGAGGCTGAAAGGCCCCCGTTGATGCCCCTGGCCCGGCGTCCTGGCGTCCTGGCGGCCGGCGGCACAGGGTGCAAACTAGGGCCTTGACTTGCCACCGCCAGCCCGCCACTTAGCCCCAGTGATTCGACGTGGTTCGTGGTTTCGGACTCTCATCCCGACCGTCGGTACTCACTCGGTGCGGCCGTGGTGGCCCGGAGGTCGGCCCCGTGGCGAAGCGGCTGCGGCCCTGGGCGGCCACCGCGCTCACCGGACGTCAAGGCGGTCGTCGGGGCGGTCGCGAAGCAGGCGAAGCAGGAGGAGCGGACCTGGTGGTGCCGGCCGGCCCGTGGCGCAGGGGCCCACCGCGGCGCCCAGCATGGCGCCCTGCTGCTGCCCGCCTCCACGGAGAGGGCCTCGGTCGCCGTGCTGCGCGGTGCGCGGTGCGTGGGGCGCCCGTTCGCGCGTCGCGGCGTGCAGCGGCCTCGCCAACCTCCCCCAAACACACTACGCGGGCTGCGCGGCGGTACGCACTCGGCGCGGCGCGGCCTGTCTCAGAACGCAACGTGTTTTCTTCTAGGCCCGAGACGTTTTGTCCGCGTGCTACCCCTTCTCCTGCCCCGCCCCGCCCCCCCCGCCCCCGCCCGCAACCTGCTCGCCCTCCTGTCCGCCGCCCCGAGGCCCCGAGGCGTGGCGGGCGCGGCGGCGGCGTCACTGTTTCAAGAGATGCTATTTTTAGATGGCGCCCTCCGCAGTCTGGCGCACACTGACGTAATAATGGAAACCACGTCTTTTGGTCCACCAGCAGGCCGAGCAGTGCTTTCGCCGCTCTGTCTCTCTCGCACTCGTGGGGCGTCCGTTGGGGCGCGAGAGAGGCAGAACGACGGAGCAAGTTCGGAATCACTGCAGCACTCTCGGCGGCGGCTTCTGCCTAGCTCGTTCCCCTCCCCGTCGCCCACGGTGCCCACGGTGTAGGAGAGTCTCTCTGCGCCGTGCCGCCGAGCCGTCCTCCCAGCCGCGGCTCGCACCCGGCATTTTCCAACATCAACAACAACACCAGCAACGACAACATGCCCGCCGCGCTGCAAGTTCACTCAACTTCTCTGGCACGCATCCCCCCGGGGTTGTGCCGTACTGTGGCCGCTGTGGCAAACAACGACCACGCCGCCGCGGCTGCAGATCGTCGCTCTGTCTCTCTCGCACTCATGGTGCCTCGCGTGGCCTCGCGTAGGGGTGCGAGAGAGGCAGAGCGACGAGGGCTCTGCTCGGAATTCAACTGCTGCTCGTCGTCCGGCCTGGGCCACTCTCTCAGAAGGTATAGTACCACCGCCCCATGCACCCCAGTATGAGGTCATCCGTCGAACCTCACGCCACGTGACGGCAATGTTCCATTTCAGTGTAACACTTTGCAACGTCTCACTTATGGAGCAGGGCACCGAGAGACTCTACGAGAGACTCGTCTGCTGTCGGTGCCAATGTAGTGGCTGAGAATGCATACTGGACAGCGGGGACAACCGAGCGATCGAGCAGTCGTTTCGTTTCTCCGTCTCTCTCACCCCTTCGACACACCCCCGCTTTTCCTTTTCTTTGAGGAAACAGATCGACGGAGGGACGCAGGGACTTTGTCAACACGAATCCGTTGTGTGGCCGAGGCCGAGAGGGCGAGAGGTCGGTAGCCGGCTCCGCGCCACTTTCAAACAGGCCGCCGTCCACGGGAAGCAGTCGCAGCAGTGCTGCCACATGCACCACTACTCGGTAGCGGAGCGTCAAGATGTCTTTTTTCCGTGTGTGGGCAAAAATTTATGTGAATTCATTTATTGAGACGGACAGAACCAAAAGCATCGCCCCAATGACGCGGACACATGGGTATCTCATCCGAGTCTGCTCATTTCGTCAACCCAAAGGTGCCCAAAGGTTGGTGCTATTAAGAAAAATAGAGAGAGACAAATGAGTCGCGAGTAGGTCCAAGTCCAAGCGAGTGTGACAGTGACAACCTCTGCTCCGAGCCGCAGTCTGCTGACTCAATGTCATAAAGAAGACACCTGTTTACTTACTCTTGCGGGTTCCTGTTCGTCAGTGTCTTTTCTCTCCAGCTTTTCTACACATTTCAATAGTTTGGCATTCCCTCCCGCATCCTCACTGTCGTAAGAAGTTTCCCTCAGGGTAAGTTTGTTTTCGCCCGACCCCTTTCTGCTGACAGCAGGCTGCAACCGCTGATGTGTTTGATTTCGTGATGCCGAAATATTTTCACCGTGACAGCCTTTCGGTACTCATTTGATCGAATCTTGACTTTTCTTTCCGCATTTCGTCAAACTCTCTTTTTCAAAATGTTCCTCTGGTATCAGTCTTATCAGTCTTGTTTACAAAGTAAACACCCTCCCGCCCCGCCCCGCCCCTCCCCTCCTCCCCTTCCTCTACTCTCCTCTGCTCTCCTCTACTCTCCTCTACTCTCCTCTGTTTGCAAAGAAATAGCTCACTCCAGACATTGCTCATACCGCTCATACCCATCACCTCCTGATTGAGTTTATCGTAGTGCTGAGCTTATTCTTTTTAAAGATTCTTAAAGCTTGCTTTAATTATATTTTTTTTCAGTGTGAAACATGCGGAAGGCCACTTCAAACGTCTTGCACTCAGTCACACAGCGACATTGGCCGTTAAAGATTAGAACAGGTATTGATATTAATTCTTCAGTTGATGAGCTGTGAATCCTGTACGGTGATTGCTTTAACATTTTCCTCTGTTCCAGCTAAATATAGTACCCCTCCATTAAGTAAGGATACCTACAAGATCAAGAGAGGAAATTTTGCTTCCCTCACTGACAAGGATATAAATGTTTTTGAAGGAATTGTTGGCAAGACTCGAATGTTAACTGACGTTTCAGATGTAGAGGCATATAATGTTGATTGGCTTCACTCGGTTAGAGGTTCGTTGTCCATTCCCTCTTAATTAGTTCTGGGAAAGCTCAAAATCCGTTATTATGAACTGCTTTACTTAACTGTGTTTTATCTTCTAGGGAGCAGCCAATGTGTCCTCAAACCTAAGACAACTGAGGAGGTTTCTGCCATATTGAAACACTGCAATGAACGCCGTTTGGCAGTATGTCCTCAAGGCGGGAACACAGGTTTGGCTGGTGGTAGCAATCCAGTCTTTGATGAAGTGGTAATTTCCACAAGCCTCATGAATAAGATTATTAGTTTTGACAGTCTCTCAGGTTTGTTGTCGCATTTTTAAAAAAATCAATGTCTGAATGATTTGTGCTTGAATATTCTTTACCAATATTTTCTAGGTGTATTAACATGCCAGGCTGGGTGTGTACTGGAGCAGTTAGAATCTTATTTGCTAGAGCAAGGCTTCTTGATGCCACTGGACTTGGGAGCCAAAGGTAGCTGCCAAATTGGGGGTAATGTTTCTACAAATGCAGGAGGCCTCCGTCTTGTTAGGTATGGCAGTCTGCATGGCACTGTCCTCGGCATTGAAGCGGTTTGTATATTTAAATTTTTTAAAACTACAATATTTGTCCTTGAATTTATATTTTTTTTAAAGCTAATTTCCTACAGGTTTTAGCTAATGGAGAAGTTATCAACTGTTTAAACAAAATGAAAAAAGATAATACTGGATATCATTTGAAACATCTTTTTATTGGCTCTGAAGGAACTCTGGGCTTAGTAACTCAAGTTGCAATACATTGTCCTGTTAGTCCAAAATCATTGAATGTTGCATTTTTAGGTAAGTGAGTGTGTACCTTTTCAAATTGTTAACATTTATTATTTTACCATGCATTAAGAAAACTGAATTAATCAGGTCTTGACAGCTATGAGAAAGTATTGGAAGCCTTAAAATCAAGTAAGAAGGATCTGGGGGAGATTCTATCTTCCTGTGAGTTGATGGACAGGACTTCAATACAAGCTGTGGAGGAAAACTTGAAACTCCGTGTTCCCATAAAAGACTGCCCATTCTATATGCTGATTGAGACATCAGGCAGTAATAGTGATCATGATGAAGAGAAACTATCTCAGTTTCTTGAAAATGCTCTTGAGAAAAATATTATTGTGGATGGAATACAAGCAAGTGAACCATCTCGCATAAAGGTGAGTCCTCCTGATACCCATATAAATTTTCTCTAAATAATTGAGAAGTCTCATCTCTAACAAGAGATACCAATAATAGTGCTTCCCTTTATAAAGAAAGATTAACTGTATTGCAGCAACTTTTTGAAGTGCGGGAAAGGATGGCAGAAGCACTGCTTTTGGATGGCTTTCTTTATACATATGATGTTTCCTTAAAGCCTCAAGATTTCTATTCAATTGTACCTACTACGAGAGAACACTTAAAAAATGTGCCAGGTGTAATGAGAGTAACTGGATTTGGACATTTTGGTACGGAATTTATTGACTTCTTTTTAATGTGTATTGTAGCTTGCTCATTTAAAGATGTCACTGCTGCTTTGCCTCTGATTATCCTTGACCGTTGACTGCTCTTGGTGTTTGACATGCTAACATGCTAACCCCCTTTAATCTTATTTGATTTAAAATAATCATAGACACACCCTCTTTCATTTTCACTTAATAGGGCCAGAAAGGCAATTAAAATAATTTTTGTTTTGTTTTACTTCTGATCTAGAATTTGTGGGAATTACGTGAAAGTATCACACAGGGTTTGGCAAGGGATGGATACACGTATAAATATGATGTATCTCTGCCACAAGATAGATTTTACAATATAGTTGAAGTAATGCGTAGTCGACTGTCCTCTTTGCCTGTTCTTCGTGTGGCTGGATATGGGCATATTGGTAAGAATCTTGCCTTGCATTTTGGTGTAGTAGTTGCATTTGTGGTTTCTCTCCTTCAACATTTTCCTCTTACATCAGGGGCTCTTTTGCTTATAATGCTTTGGGCTCTTTTCTTACCTGGTATTTTTTCAATTACATGCAATGTACCTATCTGTGCAATTTTAATTTTTTCTGCTCTGTGTTGTGAAACAGGTGATGGCAATATCCACCTCAACATCACATCAAAAGAGTACAGCAAAGAAATCATGAACAATATCGAACCATTCGTGTATGAATGGACATCAAAATTTGGAGGCAGTGTTAGTGCAGAGCATGGCATCGGTCTGAAGAAAACAGGAGCTGTCCACTTCTGCAAACCTCCTCAAGCTATACAGCTCATGCATCAAATTAAAAATGTCATGGATCCAAATGGCATCATGAATCCTTACAAGGTTCTCCCAGCAATAAACTCAGCATAAGTTTCAGTTTGTTTATTCTTTAAGTATCATAGAACAAAGCAAATGAAATCAAATATTATATTAAAGTTGTGCCATCATGATTAACTTTTAAAAAAAATTATTTTACATTCTAAGACTTTGAAATATGCACTTCTTATAGTGAAGGAGTGAAGAAGATTGTAAGTAAACTTGGAGATTTCAGCATCATTAAACTGAATTACAAAGAGAAAACTATGATAACATAATGAAAAGTAAGAAAATACCTTAAATATCACAGTAAACTACAAGATCTATAGCACATTTATCACATACAGTCTGCACAGACAAATTTCGTCTCCTTGAAAATGGCTCATTTCTACTAGAATAGAGTAGCCCCTTAACTAGAAACATCAAAAAACTCTAGAGATGATAAAGACAGGCGATACATAGAACATTGAAATGCTAACTAAAAACTGGTTGAGCAAGCAAGATTTTGGAATCGACTTAAAGTAGCTTACTGCACGGACCATCATGAAAACTTTTATGAATCTTCCAATATAAATGAAAATACATAAAATGACAAAATATCTATGGATCATGTACAGGAATCACCTCTGCTTCTTGCCTCGTCTTGATGGCTTTGAAGAAGAGGGGCCTTCCCCAATAGTGACAATGCCTTGAGCAATTTCCTCACGATCAGCACTTTCAGATATCTGCTTTTGAGCTTCCAAGAAGAACATGACATCACGCAGCTGTTCCTTCAGTTCATTTATTTCCTAAATTAAAGTTTAATCAGTCAGAATATGCTGGCTATAAAATGAAAATATTTATCAAACTCAAGCTTACCTTATCTTTTTCTGATTGATATTGTTTAAACTGGCCTTCCAAAGCAGTGAACTTATTCTGCCAGCCGCCTTGATTCTGAGTTAGTGCTCCACTCAGCTGCTTTTCTTCTTGAAGTTCTTTTTGAGTGGCATTCAAACGTTCTGACATTTGCTGCAACTGAATACAAGAAATTTAGTAATTGAATCTATGGTGATATTGTACTCTTTAAGTTCTTAGACACAAACCTTCTTGTCAGCTATTTGCTTCTCCCTGCTAAGAGATGACACTTTACTTTCCAAAGCCTTGTTATCTTCTCGTAGCTTTTGAAGTTTCTCTTTTAGCTCAGTGCGCTGAAATAAAAATAAATTAATACTACAAAGAAACAGAACAAAATGGACATGCACTAATAAAGATATTTCATTTTCACTCACCTCGGCTAGTGTTTGTTGGTCTAGTCGCAGAAGTTGATCCTCAAAGTACATGCGTTGTGAATCAAGCTGTGATGTTAACATATATGTGAACTCTAACTGGACTGAATCTAATTTTTCGTCGGTAACCTGCAATGGAAACAGACATTAACTGTTAGCAATGTGTTATTGATCCTGAAAGGAAACATAAGAGGCCCTTCAAACACTCACATCTTGTTTGCCAGGGGCACTTCCTTCAACAAGTTTACCATCTCCTTTATTTTGCAACAGGCGGTGAACAAAGTTGTCTCCCACATAGTCCCACACCCGATTGCTGCCTAGTTGCATTGAGTAACAGTGCTGAGTTTGCAAGTAATGCCTGCAAAATAATGATGAGCTTAGTGAGATTGATTATATTTCCTTGAAAGACACTGCTTTCACAAATGAAATGGATGAACCTACTCGTATGCATGACCATGGACATAGCGGCCACATCCAACATGCCCACAAATCAAACAAATCCAAAGTTGATCAGAGGAGTGGCACTCTAAGCATTTGTTATCTGCAACTAGCTCTGGAGTCTGTACATATCGGCAGACTGGACAGCTAAAGAAAGAGATCAATAATTAGATCAACACAATTTAAAAATACTGTATAGAAGTATCACAATGTTTAATAAATTGTTTAAGTTACCTTGTATCTCCCCACTTTGCCAGACAGCTGGTGTGAAAAGCATGATTACAAAGAATTGTGAGAATGCCATCTACAGACTCATCCATCCTTTCCAGGCACACTGGGCACGTGGGTAGCTCTGTGTGGTGTGGTGGGGGGACATCTTCTCTTGTCAACTCAACTTTTGACACGAACACCAAATGGCAGCAAACATCGGGTTCAAGAGAATTGTATGCAGCACCGTTAAATGTTTTATAAAATTCAGTTGCAGCTTGCTGAAACACATATTTTAAAAATTAGAATAGACCAAAACATAGCAATTTATTTTGAAAGTTCAATTCTACAGTCTTCCTAACTAACCTGAGTGCGGAAGGTTAAAAGAACCATGTACTGATTCGGTGTACCATCTCTTATTACCCGTACATGCTGTATGTCTTCATGGCATGCAGCGGTAAATGTTAGCAGATCGTGGCATGTCATGGTTGCTGGTACAGCAAGAAGACAAACCGTTTGGCTCAGCTCAGATGTGCTTTCCATTTCAGTGAGGGAACTGAAAAATTTGTTTCATTGAAATATACTGAGCTATTAGGCAACTTCACACAAAAAGATTTGAATGATGACTTACTTTTCTTTGTATAAATGAAGAATTCCTTTGGTAACTTCAACAAAAGGATTTCCTGACACAAAGGGGATGAGTGAAGGATCTCCAACTCTTTCCCGCTCGCCTCTCAGCATGGGATCAGCTTCATCCAAATCAATTGATCGCCTTGATGGAGGCATATCATCTGAAAGAAAATTATAATTATTCTGAGTGCTCTTGTTCTAAACCTGAGCTGGCAAATTATTTAGTTTGTGAGAATTCTAACCCTCAGATATGGAAGACTGGCTAGCGACAGGGTGTTTGACAGATGATTCACTTGATTTTCCAACAGCGTGCGAGTCGCCATGGACTGGTGCCGATGGGAACAGAGTTATGGCAGTCTGGCCACTGTCCCACACAGACGCATTGGGAAGGGCCGGAGTCACTTCCTCTCCTGCCCGAGAGTAAGTCTCCACCGTTATGTCCCGCATTTCTCTTCTGCCCCGACGAGCATTCGGTTTCACATTCTTAGCAGCCATTGCACCAGAAGCGCCTGTAAAACACAATGAGAATTTCATAGTGGTAAAGACACTGTGGAAAAGTAAACATGGCAAAAAATCTCAACAAACAACACGTTTGTAAAGCAGAATTTACGTCAAACTATAAAATGTTGTCTGAATTAGGGAACCCAATGAAAACACTCACAATGATAACAAAGGCCAAAACATAACCTACGCACCTGATCCCGTAGCAGACGACTCCGTATCGCTATCGTCACCCAGTTCAATGCGAATCACACACAAGGACACAGCTATAGACATCCCCAGAGGAAGCAGGAAGACAAATTACGCAATCAAAGGAATCCACCATCACGAATCACGGGGCTGCGAATAAAAGGTTCGATCGACAGATGACACTTTGAAAACTGCAGCAGACATCCTTGTCCGTTGCGAGCGGAAACAACTACCAACCTAAAATATATGTAAGAAACCATGTGGTCTCTGCCAAACAGTTTTTCGCTTTTATGTTGAGGTATAAAAGCGAATGAGAGACTAATTTATCCAACGAAACAAGATAATTGTTTGTGTTCAAGGAAAAATGTTTTTCTTGTTGTGCCATGTGTTTTTGGCATGATGTACCAACCCTGCTCTCCAGTTCAAAAACAGGCCAAACACTCGGCAAGTGCGTGCGATTTATTACAGTTGTCCTTTATTCCGAATATATTTGTTTCATAGATATGGAGAAGCCGGTCGAAACTGGAGGACGTTTGCGGGATATGCTATTGGCCGCTCGATGTGTTGACACAGGTTTGGTCGAACTGGAGAAGATGCTAATGTCAATAGAGGGCTTGATGCCTGATGAGAGCAACAAAGAAGCAGCTCTTGAGGCAGCAAGTAGTTTATTTCAAGAGGTTAAAGATGTTGAGGTGAGCTACCCATGTTTCACCAATTAATTGTACATTGTGTGTCTGTCCCTGCACTTTTGCTGAACTGTCATTCCGCCCTTAATCGTCCTCTCAACCTGACAGGTAAACATTGAACAGTTAACAAACATTTATAAATCGTTGTTCGAAGCTACTAAAGAAGAGAATGACAAAGCTGATGTAGCAATTAAATCTATGCAGGATGGCATTAATCAGATCGAAGATACATTAAGGAACTATGGGTACGACAGTTCTAACATGCCTGAATTAATCCCTGAAGAGATGGAAGAGAATGGAAGGTATGTTGATTTAGTTGCTATTTTCAGTGCGATGCTTTCTGTTCTAACCATCTTTTGATAAAAAAAATTTAAAAACTATCCCATTGCAGCATTATAGAGGACAGCGAATCTTCAGTGGAAGAGGTCAAAGATGAGGCAGACGATGAAGTCCCCCTTTCACCTGGACGAGAAATAGAGGCCATGAGCGAATCTCTCTTGGGTGTAGAGATCACTCCAATGCTTCTCTCAGGAAAAAGTCGCAAGAACTCTCACAACAGTGCTTCATCTACCGGCACAACCCCTCTTCCTTGTTTCAAACAAACCAGTGTGCCTGTAACTTGCGTCCCCATTATCAAGTATGAAAATAATGCAATACAAGAAAAAAAGGAATCAAATCAGCTGTCAAAGAAACTATTACAGAAGCCAGAACGACCTGTCTTAAGTTTGAATTACTAGTAAAAATTCCACCAAAAGATTTTTATAAAAGGGAAATGCAATGGCATGATAAACTTGCCTTAATTGTTTGCTATCTTTTTTAGACTTTAGCCGTTATAAGATTTTCCTCCCACAATCATGTGCTACAGTACAGAATCTATCGCTTTTGTTGAGTTTTAGAAACACGGTATACTACCTTTCCAAGCCTTGATAGAATATCATCTGGTTTTGTAAATTTATGTGAGACTTTCCTTCCTTGTAGACAACTTATTATTAATGAAGAGGTCAAAAAAGGTAGTACAGAAAATTTGCAGTGCTTTTTTTTAACCCTTTGCTCTTCCCTATTAATGCTCCATTTTAACATATTTCAATTTGGAACATTAAATTTTTTGTCCAAACACGTGTCAAAGCGGTGCTAGTTTACTGCCATCCAAACCGAGGTGCTGGCCTGTGTGATCAATCTCAGAGTGGTATGGTGTTTGAGATGCTCTACACGAACGTTCTCTCGCGCGGGCAGTGTCTCTCGCCGCTTTGACTAGTCTGTCAGCGTGCATCGTCTTCAGTCGCCAATGTGGGCCCACTTCATCATTGATCTTCCGAAAATTTTGACACATCAGCGTCATCTGGTGTTTTGTGGGAACCACGACGAGCGCGTTGAGCCGTTTGACTACAGCTTTTCAAGTTGGTCACGCTGGTTGCCCCTGCTCCTAGTCCCGTATTCATTCTATGCTGTAGAGCGGTCGTCGGGCTTCCCCAGGGGAACTGGCTGCCGATCGAAATTTTGGTCACGTGAACGGTCACGTGACAGGTCTCGACCAATCAGAGGCCTCCATTTTTCTCAAACATGCCTTTTTTTTGCTGTTTCACCGATATTCGGGCGGCCCGCCAGATGGATTGCTCTCCGAACGAGGAATCCATTGGTGGGGTCACACTTTCGGTTCGAGGCCCATTTAGCGACTCTGGAGCTCAAAACGCGTCTAAGAGTTTTGGCCGCCTCCACCGGTCTGCTGGCCCACTGTGTACCAACCCAGAGCTAATTTAATTGCAGTAAAGAGGAACAGTAGTGATTCCGTTTGAGTTGCCTTTCCAGTATTTTATTTACACTTTTTACACAAAGACGACAATAGTCACATTACAACTTTAACTTCTACGAGAAAAATACATTTGTTGACATCTTTGGAAGGGAAATACATAAATATGTAAGCATGCAATTTACATGAATTTCATCTGGTAAAACTCTGAAATAAGCTTTAAATACATAAATCAGTTCTTTGATTTACCCATGAAACAAGTCCACCTACAAGATGGTGGACCTGTCTCATGGATAAACGCTTGGGCAACATTATCAAAACACACTCATAGTAAGAGCACGGAAGACAACACTGGCGTAGCACTTCTACGATAAATTAAGGTGAACCCTGTTTGCCATACAATCGAATGTAGTATGGTGGTCACATGGCCGTTTTTGGAATTAGACTGAACTAACTACGGCAGTCTCTTTTCCAGCTCTGAAAAAAGGCGCCGAGTCAGAAGGTAAATTATACAATCACAGTGTCGTATAAAAAATTCTCAAACTCCTAAAAAGCCCTGTCTTCATTTTGGCACGTACAGTCAGTTCTCCGATCACCGAGAAAGTTCACACAGTCTAACACTAGATCGCCCCAACCACGTCAGGCGCCCGACAGGGCGGCGCATCAGGAGATGACACAGTTCTTGTCGTGCGCGCCGATGGCGTGCGGGTGGCCCGCGGGGTTGGCGGCGTTGGCGGGCAGGGTGACGCTCTGGCTGGGCTTCTTGACGGGGGACCGCGGCATGGTGGTGTGCTGCTGCTGGCGCTGCCTGGCGCACGCCAGGGCGTCGTTGGGGACGTACGAGATCCGCACGCCGCCGTACGCGCGCCGCGGCGGCAGCTGGTACGCCTCGGACTCGTCGCTGGAGGAGCTGGACGAGCACGTGGAGCAGTAGCTGTCCTCGTCGTAGTCGCGACTGTGCCGCGCGCGCCGCGCTCGCCGTGACTCGGCCCTGCGCTCGCGCGCCTCGCGCGCCGCGTCCCTGGACTCCCTCGTGGACGTGGAGGGCCTTCCCTCGCCCGCGGGGCTGTTGCAGTCGTTGCGGTCCTCGAAGCGCACGCTCAGCTGGCCGCGGCTCTTCCCCCGCGACGTGGACGCGGACGCCTGCGGGGTCTGCGGCGCCGTGGGCGACGGCGTGGAGCTGCTGGCGTGCGCGGGGCTGTGGCTGGGGCTGTGGCTGGGCCCGTCCGGCGTGTCGGGGCTGCAGGGCGACACGGGCGAGCTGGTGTGGCCGTGCGGGGGAGGCGGCGGCGGCGGTAGCGGCGGGGGCAGCGACGCCGCGGACGGGGCGTCCAGCTCGGGCATGGACGCGGTGCCGTCGTGCCGCTGCGAGTGCAGCGCCTCGCTGAAGGGCTGCCACGAGTCCAGTGACAAGCTCAGCTCGGCCAGGTTGGCGAGGTGCAGCGGTTGCCTGCATCGGTCCCGCGCGCTCAGCAGCCTCTCCAGGTCGGGGGACAGCGAGCCGAGCGAGCCCATGCCCATGCCCCCCATGGCCATGCTGCCCAGCGCGGCGAGCTGCTCCAGGTTGACGGCGCCGCCGTTGTGGTCGGACAGCAGCCTCTCCAGGTTGCGCTCCAGCAGCACCCTGTCCAGGCCCTTGGGGGAGGCGCCGTTGGCCGCGCCGGGCAGGCCGCGCACCACCAGCTCCTCCACGACCGTGGTCACGGTCTCCGTCACCAGCTCCGGGCTGGGGCTGGCCGCCTCGCTGCTGCTGGCCGAGGCCTTGTGGTGCGGGGACCTCTGCTGCAGCGCGCGCCGCCCCATCTTGGGCGAGCGGCTGGGCTGCGGGCTGAGCTGCGGCGTGGGCCCCGCGGGCCCTCCCGGCGCCACGGGCATCACGTGCAGGCCCGGCTGGTACGGCATGAGCAGCGACCCCGTGTTGGCTGAGGCCGCGGCCGGCGCCGCGTTCAGCGAGTGCGACGGCGAGCTGCGCGGCGACGGCGGCGGCAGGCTGCCCAGGGGGCTGCGGGGGCCGCTGGAGGAACCGCCCGGGGACGTGCTGGGAGGCAGCGGGTGCTGGACGCTGTGGACAAGACACGCGGTTAGCACCATCACGCAGCGCGCAGCGCACGACGGCGGTGACTTCCACCAAGCCAACGACTTACCTGAGGTTCCTGGTGACTTTGCCGGCCGGCGAGTCCGTGCGGTGGCTCGCGTGGGAGTGGGCGGGGCTCAAGTTCCCGGACGGCGAGGACGGCGCCGAGGACGTGGCGGGGGACGCGGCGGGGGCCTGCACCGGCAGCTTGGCGGGGCTGTGCTGCTGCTGCTGCTGGCCTCGCCGCGTCCGGCTGGGCGACGCCGGCGGCGTGGAGGACCCCGCGTCCGACGGCGGCCGGTGCGCGGAGGCGCGGCTGCGGGGCGGCCTCCTGCCGTTGGAGGGCGGCAGCGGGGGCGGCGCGCCCAGGGGCGGCGGCGCGGGCGAGGCCGAGGGCGGCGCGCTGCCGTCGCTGGGGGTGGGCGGCTCGCCCTTGGAGCAGGCGATGGAGCAGTAGATGGCGCCTCGCCTGGGCAGGAACGGCCGGCCCAGCAGGCTGCCCCTGCACGTGTTGCAGCAGAAGCACTGCTCCGTGGCGTGCCAGTGCTGGCCGTCGTGGCTCATCTGGCCCTGGTCCACGCCGATCTGCTCGCCGCACGAGTCGCAGTACTCGGCGAACATGGCGTCGAAGCAGTGCAGGCAGTAGGGCCGCGTGTCCCTCATGATGTACCTCTGGCCGCCCAGCTGCGCCTGGCACTCGGCGCACGCGAAGTGCTTCAGGTGCCACGCGCGCCCCTCCGCCTCGGTGCACTCGTCCGCCAGGATGATCTGCAAAGCGGGAACTCATTAGCTCATTAGCTTTATGAAATGCGTCCGCCACCGCGGCACAGTATCGAACAGAAGACCGAGAGGTGGACAAAATTCTAGACGCGTTTCGCGCTCTTTGAATGGCATTCGAATCGAACGTGAGGTAAGTAAAGAACTGTTGAGGAAACTACGAGCGTTAAGGCGACACATCAGTGCCTCTCACGTCAGCGGACACATCCCCAGGAGCAGAAGGCGAGTAATCGGAAATGGCCCCGATTTACTTCTCCCTGACTCGCTTCGGGTGTGGAACTTGTGTTGTACTACCGTGTGCAAAAGAATCAGACCGTCACTACTCCACGCGTCAGAGATTTACAACGCTAGCCTTATGGTTGGTCTCTTGCGCGCGGGGTAGCGACGGTCGGATCCTTTCGCACACGGTAGTACCTCTGCCAAAGAACCATTGAGCGCACTGAATGTATTGATAAGTTCTGAAGGCGTCTAAAATTTGGTCCGCCTCCACGGGTCTTCTGGCCCACTGTGCGTGGCTTGAACCAAAGAAGCTTGGAATTGGGAGCCCACCTCGTCGCAGGCCGAGCACCGCGGCTTGAGGGTCTCGGCGTGGTGGCGGCCGCAGTACAGCCGGCCGTCCTTGTAGAAGTAGATGAGGTCCACGAGCAGGTGGCGGCACGTGCAGCACGTGAAGCAGGCGGGGTGCCACGCGGCCTGGGAACCCGCCCTGGACGCGGACACGGCCATGTCGCCGGCCCCCAGCGGCTCGGTGCACTGTAACAGGAGGGCGAAGGCACAGTGAGAAAGGGCACGACAACTTTGATCAGCATGGCATGGTGCATCACAGCGCCGCGACCTGTAGACTGATTCCGAGAGTCGTTTTCGTCGCTTTGTTACTCTCGCACCTTTACGGGACGCCCCATGAGTGCAAGGCAGACAGAACGACGAAAACGACTCTCGGAATCAGTCCGCTGCGAATCTACACACACAGGGAAGGCCTGGCGATACTCCCGACAGGAGGGGACTCTACCACAGGGAAGGCTCGGCGATACCCCGCGCCGCAGCGCTGGACCGCTAATTTCTGCGCGTGTACGTGACGCGTGACCCACGCACCGCAGGGCTGCAGGGCGGCAAGGCGCTCTCCGCGAACCAGAAAACGGCGCCGCCATTAACTTACCGCGCGGCGCCGCGCGATTTCTCATAGGACCACTAAGTCATTCCCCGGCCGGCAAGGCGGCGGGCGTTCCGTTCCCGCTCCGCCACTTTGAGACTTGGCGTTATTGTTTCGCCCTCCGGGATGAGAAATAAGGCGCATTTTTTCGTTGCCGCTCTTCGGCGCTCGGGCCGAAAGGCCGAAAGAGAGGGCGGGAATAATTATCCTCATATTTCACATTTTTAATATCTTGCCCCTCGGCGGGCGGGGCTGGCGCGGCCAGAAAGGCTAGAAGCAGGCCGGCCGGCCGCACGCGCGGGCCTTCGGACCCCTGCGGATTATCGGGGAGGAATCATGGAAATGCCGGAATGACATGGAACAACTGTCGAGGCGGAGCGAGAGCGGCGCGCGCGGTGCGCGCCGCCGACACGGAGTCCGTCCTCCACTTGGACACGGACGACGGCCGCCTTGAACCCCAGCTCGTTGACGTGACCCTGGGCGCAGGCGGACGCCCCCGGCGACCCCCCCTCCCCTTCATTCCGGCAATATTGTCCTCCGCTGTCGGGGCGGCGAGGCTCTCGACGAGGAACTTCCGCGCAGTGTGGCCCGGGGCGGCCGGGGCCGGCGGGGGTTTTACTTCTGAGGGGCTCCACGGACAATTTCACTCAAGCCTCATGACGAACAATGACTGGGCGCGGCGCGCAGCGCAGGGCACTGCCGCCGCGAAGCTCCGCGAAGCTCCGCGAAGCGCCAAGCCCGGGCTCGGCGGAGCTGGAGAATCGGACACTGCAGCGGCCCGGCCTGGCTCCGCGCGCACCCCGCGTGCCTTAATTACTTTTCCGGACGTTCCATTTAAAAGCAATTGAGAAAACATCTCTCGGCGGCGTGCTCCGCGGGGCTCTGCAAGGCTCCGCACGGCCCCGCCAGGCCCTTGCAAGGGGTGGAACAGGAAGCAGCCCGCCGCCCCGTCTGCAGACTGAGAGCCGTCTTCGTCGCCCCGTCTCTCTCGCACTCCTTGGCGTTCCGTATGGGTGCGAGAGAGACAGAGCGATGACTCTCGGAATCAGTCTGCTGGGCCGTCCCGCGCGTCCCGGGGGAGGGCGGTGAGCAGCCCCCTCGGTCATCTACTTTGCCCACGGCTCGTGGCTACACGGCTACGTTTGCAAACGAAATGATCTCGGCCTCGCCCTCCTCCTCTCCGGGTCGCTGAGTCGCTGGCTTCCTCGCTCTGGTCGTGAAAGAGACGCGCCCCGCTAAGATGTGAGGCTCCGCGCGCCCCATGGCCCATGCCGCCCCGGCGGTGGTGATGTTTCGTTCCCGCTTCAACTCCACCCCGCGAAACGCATTAAAGAAATGCCAGCTAAAACGGCCACCACGGACTCGGCGCCGTACGTCGCGTCGTCGGCGCGCTGGAGGCCGTGCTTGCGGCTTGAGGTGGCGCACAGTGGGCCGGAAGACCGGTGGAGGCGGTCAAAACCCCACACGGATTTTGAGCTCCAGAGTCGCTGAATGGGACTAGAACCGAACGTGTGGCCCCACCTATGGATTGCTCTCCGAACGGGGAATCCATAGGCGGGGTCACACTTTTGGTTTCAGGCCTGTTTAGCGACTCTGGAGCTCAAAAGGCGTGTAGAATTTCTGCCGCCTCCACCGGTCTTCTGGCCCACTGTGTGGCGGCGGAGCGGCGACACACCCACGCACCCGCGCACCCACGCGACGCCGGCGAGGGCATCAGACCTGGTGGAAGACGTTGTGACGCGACGGGCGACGGACACAAAAGGCGGGCCACCCCGGCCAGACAAACGAAAGAAAGAGGAGGGAGCGAAACAGAGGCAGACAGTGCGTGCGCGCGAGAGAGAAACTGGCACCGCCGTCTGCTGAGTGCCGGAAGTACTTCCCCGGCGCGGCGCGGCGTGGCGGGGGCGGCGCCACCACTGGCTTAGGAGCAATCATCATTGAATACAGCCCTTTCGGCCGGCGCCCCCTGGGACAGGCAGGCAGGCAGGCAGCCACGGCCCACTGGCCCCAATCAGCGCATAATGTCTTCTTCTTTTAATCCCCGCAGGGCCCCGGGGGCCCTCCGCCCTTCCGTGGCCGTCTGGTCAGAGCGCCCTGGGGCGGCGCTCGCCCTCCGCCCTCGCCCTTCGCGCTCGCCCTCCGCCCTTCGCCCTTCGCCCTCGCCCTTCGCCCTCGCCCTCCGCCCTTCGCCCTTCGCCCTTCGCCCTCGCCCTTCGCCCTCGCCCTTCGCCCTCGCCCTTCGCCTCGCCCTTCGCCCTCGCCCTTCGCCCTTCGCCCTCGCCCTTCACCTTCGCCCTCGCTCTCGCCCTTCGCCCTTCGCCCTCGCCCTTCGCCCTCGCCCTTCGCCCTCGCCCTCGCCCTTCGCCCTCGCCCTTCGCCTCGCCCTTCGCTTCGCCCTCGCCCTTCGCCCTCACCCTTCGCCCTCGCCCTCCTCGCCGGGAGGGCGATAAGGGCCGGTATCAGCGTGGCGAGGGTCGGCGCGGGGCCGAAAATTAAAAGTGCCGCGTCGAGGTAGACTAGACCCTCGCCCTCTTTGAACTCCACCGGCGGATTGCACGGCGGGCCACGCAGCCGAGAGTCGTCTTCGTCGCTCTGTCTCTCTCGCACTCGTGGGGCGCTCCATAAGGGTGCGAGAGAGACAGAGCGACGAGGGCGACTCTCGGAACCAGCCTGCAGGCGGGCAGACGGCCCCGTGGTCGTCCGACCGGAATAAAATACGCACTTTTCTCGGGGCGGTTAATTGCGAAGCATCTTGGGAGAATTCCCGTGACATCCTCCTCGTCTCCTTTGCCGCGCCGAGCGGAGCCGAGCGGAGCCGAGCCGCGCCGCGCCGCTCCGGGGATTCATTTTCGGCGGCTCGCCTCGCCTTCGCCGAATTTCTAGTCCGAAATGAACCATCCGCGCACTTTATATTTCGCCCTAGATAAAAATAAAAATGTTGCCGCCGGCAGCGAGCCGCGCCGAACCGAGGCGAGGTCTGCCCTCGGCATTCCCGCGCCTCCTTGGCCCTCCACAGTGGGCCAGAAGACCGGCGCTGGCTGCCGAAACTGTAGACGCGTTTTGAACTCCTGAGTCACTAAATGGGACTAGAACCGAGCGTGTAACCCCACCAATGGATTCTTCGTTCGGAGGGCAATCCATTGGCGGGATCACATGTTCGGTTCGAGTCCCATTTAGCGAATCTGGAGCTCAAAACGCGTCTAGAGGTTTGGCCACCAGCGCCGGCCTTCTGGCCCACTGTGCCCTCGGCCGGGCCGCGCATATTATGCCGGGGAATCTTTGTTCTCGCGCAATCAATTTCCGAACAGCTTTCCATCGACGATCTGCCCCCCGCCCCACCTCCAGAACCTTTTGGGTTTTCATCCTCTTTTACGCGGAGCGTGTCTCAACAGATTGGCAAAGCGTTCTGCACTGGCTGCTACCGCCACCGAGATTGGCCAGGAAATTTATAAGTCGCGCGCGCAGGGCGTGGCGTGGCGTGGCGGGGCGTGGCGTGGCGTGGCGTGGTGGCGTGGTGGGGCGGGGCATCGCGCGTCTCCTCTCTTTATGCAAAGAGGGGAGGATGACGCTTCAATTTCAAAAGTTGGTTCGCGTCGAATCCATTCTCGCAATGGGGCAACACGACGAGTCGAGCCGTTCCTCCGTTCGACCCTCAATTTTTTTTTCGCTCCCTCAGCCCAGGGGTCTCAGAGTGAGCATGGCTTGCGGGCCGCATAGAGAGAGAGAAAGGCAAAAGAGAGATAGGAGATAAAAATGAGTGAGGCGGCGAAGGTGGGGACACGCCGGACTCCCCCCCCGCACGGCAGCGGCGACGGGGGGACCCAGCGCTGCGCTGCCTGGGCCCGCACGGGCTGACTGCCCGGGCCTTGTTCCCCCATAGGGGCCTTGTGATGCGGAGAGATCCCGGCCAGCCACGGCGAGCCGGCCGGTTGACACGTTTGACAGCGGGGCGACGAGGCAGCGCGCCCGCCGCCCGCCAGCCTGGACCTGTGCGGCCCGAGTCTGGCCCGCCTATCTTTCCCATTGCGGCTCGCTGCGGGCCGGTGGCACCCGAGGCTCCGGGCCGGAGCGGCCCGGGGGCCGCCCGTCTGAGACCCCTGCCTCACCTCCCGCGCCGATCCGGCGCAGCCCTATCTGTCTCTCTCTCTCTCTCCTCTCTCTCTCTCTCTCTCTCCCCTTCTCTCTCTCTCCCTCTCCCTCTCTCTCTCTTCTTCTCTCTCTCTCTCTCTCTCTCTCCCCTCTCTCTTCTCTCCTCTCTCTCTCTTGGCTTCGGGGATGATGGACTCGACGGCGCAGGAACACACCCCGGCAGATTGTTTCCTGAGAAAGGCAGATGAGGGTAGTGCGGAGGAGCAGACGAGGAGACGGAGACAGACGGCAAAAGAGTTGGGGTGCGAGCGAGCGAGCGAGAGAGAGAGAGAGAGAGGGAGAGAAAAAGGAGAGAGAGAGAGAGAGAGAGAGAGAGAGAGAGAGAGAGAGAGAGAGAGAGGGAGAGAGAGAGCGGCGCGCAGTTACCGCGCAAAACCCAGACCAAACCAGTCCTTGGGGAAATTCGCCAGGGGATTGAAATTATCGGCGCGAGCAGACGGGACGGCCCCGACGTACGCGGTGCTGCGTGCTCTACGAACAGCCGACGACTCACAGTGGGCCAGAAGACCGGTGCACAGTGGGATAGAAACCCGAAAACGTGGCCAAAATACCCTAAAATGAAACGTGTCCCAGGCCTCTCATAACAGCCTGCGTGCAATGTTAATATCCCAAAACTTCAATATCCAAAATATTTCAGATAGGAATCGACCCATAGAGCTTCCAGTGCCGTCGGAAAAGGAATAAATAATTAAACGAAAATTTTGTGAAAAGTAAGAAAAAATTGCTTTATTTAGGCACTGTTTATGACCTGTTTGCACCTTCCCGAAAAAAAGCGACTTATCCCGTTTAAAGTCCGTTTCTTCCTGAACAATTTGGCGTAACAAAAAAGTCTGTACCCCCAAAGGTCGCCTCACAAAGTCGATTTAAGTAAAACATTCCATTAATTTCAAAAAAATCGACAAGATATATTGAATTGACTATAACTAAATTTAACGGCGGTTCACGGTGAAACGGTTTGCGGGAGATCACGCACCAATGTGTCGACTACAAGTAGCAGAAGATAAATCTTGCTCCAAAGTGCTCCATTTTGAATGCCGTGCGAAATTGTAGAGCTAATTAAGGGTAAATCGCGAGAATTGACTAAGTTTTTATTTCTGCAATAAAAACAAACACTTCAAAAAAAAATTAAGAAACTGAAGTTGTATTCATTATTGCGTCCGTATTAATAACGTCGAGGGGCACCTTGAGAGGTTGCCGACGACGTCCTTCCGTGTCCGCCATGACGACCCCTGCGTTTGAGCTGGCCATCGAGACCGTCAGGACCCGCATAGGGTGTGAAAACCGTTTTTTCCTGCGGCCCCCAGTTTCCGAGATACGAGGACGTACCACGAGGTCGCCGTCGAGGCCGACGAGGAAGTCGTACAATGTTTGGTGTCCAAAGAGGCCATGACGGCGAACGGCGACCCACTTTGGAGTCCGGGACTTTTGATGACGGAATTCTCTTCGTGGGTTCTTGAGCTCTCAGGAACTCGATACTGGCCAAGATCTGCGCAGCGGTTTGTCCAGGATGGCGACGAACATCTCGATGTGGGTCGATTTGAAGTGTTTTTTTTTTAGTTCGTCGCCATCCTGGACAAACGGCTGCGCAGATCTTGGCCAACATCCAGTTCCTGAGAGCTCAAGAACCCACGAAGAGAATACCGTCATCAAAAGTCCCGGACACCAAAAGGGTTCACGGGCACGGGCATAGCCTCTTTGGCCTCCAAACATTGTACGACTTCCTCGTCGGCCTCGTCGGCGACCTCGTGGTACGTCCTCGTATCTCGGAAACTGGTGGCCGTAGGAAAAATCGGTCTTCAGGGCCGTTTTATGTTGGTCAAGGTCTCCATGGCCAGCTCAAATACGAGGGTCACATTGGATTTTGTTAGCGGAATTGAAATTTTTTGCCCCCAAAACCTACGAAATTTTGTGCCACGTGACAATTTTTGGGCATTTTTTGAAATTTACCCCCCCCTGACCCGCCCCTGGATATTTTCAAAAATTTAATTTTGTTTACAGATTTGAAGTCCTGGACTCTCAATCTATAGGAAAAGATGCGTCGCACATGTATATGAGCATTTTTAAAAATTTTCCCCCCCCTGATCCGCCCCTGGATATTTTCAAAATTAAATTTTTTTTTACAGATTTGAAATCCTGGACTCTCAATCAATAGGAAATGATGCATCGCACATGCATTAGAGCATTTCTTAATTTGCCCCCCTCCCTGATCCGCCCCTGAATATTTTCAAAATTGAATTTTGATTGCAGATTTGAATACCTTGACCCCAAAAACCCTTACACTCCAAAAATTACGCATTTGCCGTTTAAGATGCGTCTGCAAATCAATTTTGGCCACGTTTTCGGGTTTCTTTCCCCCTGTGCGGTGGAGGCGGCCAAAAATCTAGACGCGTCTTGAGCTACAGAGACGCTAAACGGGGTTCGAACTGAACGTGTGACCCCACCAATGGATTGCTCTTCGAACGAAGGAATCCATTGGTGGGGTCACACGATCGGTTCGGGGCCTGTTTACCGTCTCTGCAGCTCAAAACGCGTTTAGAGTTTTGGCCGCCTCCAGCGGTCTTCTGGCCCACTGTGCGACTCAAGAAAAAGGCAGCTGGCGGCGCGGGGACTCGAACCCGGGACCCAAGACTTACCGCTTCGCAGGGGAGGGTGGCGGTGAGCTGGCGCACCATGCCGCGGCCCAGGGCGTCCCGCTTGCGCTGCGCCGAGAAGAGCCGCAGCTCCTTGCGCTCCTCGTCGGACAGCGCGCGGCAGTAGCGCACCTCGTTGTCGTGCGGCGGCAGTTGCTGCAGCAGCTGGCGGACGCGGTAGCGCTCGCCGGCCGAGCCCGCGTAGGGGATGCGCTCCTCGGGCAGGCACGAGAAGTACAGGTGCACCTGGAACAAGGAGCGGTCGGGTCAGCACGGTCAGCAAGACAGCAGGCTCATTCCGAGAGTCGTTGTATCGTCGCTCTGTCCCTCTCGCACCCACACGGCACGCCCCATGAGTGCGAGAGAGACAGAGCGACGAAAGCGACTCTCGGAATCAGTGTGCAGAAGGCAGGCCAAGTCGATCAGTGGCGCCGCCACCGCCCTCGCGGCGGAGACGGGAAGCTTGGCGCCGCTTGGCGCGACACCGCAGCGCGGCCGCTCGCTGCCGGAGTCGAAATCGCGCCGCAGCCACCGCGCTATGGCGCGAATCAACAGGTGCGAGAGAGAGAGAGAGAGAGAGAGAGAGAGAGAGAGAGAGAGAGAGAGAGAGAGAGCGGCAGCGAGACGGACGGGTTGGCGGCTAGAGGGTAGTTGATGGCTGGCTGCAGGAGCTTTCAAGTGTGTTCGCTGGTTCGCTGCCGGGGTCGGGTTAGTCGGGTTGGGGGAGGCACAGGCGCGAGGCGTACGACCCTCCGAGCCGGGATGGCCCATGGGGGCCGCCCCTCCGCACCCCGCCCCGCCCCCCCCCCCCGCCCCGCCCTGCCCCGCCCCGCCCCGCCCCGCCCCGCCCTGCCCCGCCCCGCCCTGCCCGGCTCAGTTTCGCCAAACGTTCCCTCGGGAGCGTCTTCCTGTCTATGTCGGTGTTCCAGCGTTCCAGGTGCGCGTGAGCCCTTCCGGGCCCCGCGGCCCCGGCGGCCTGGCCCTCCCCGTTGACTGCACTTTTATCCCCCAGGCGCCATAAAGTAGTGCAGGAACATGGCCCGCCTCGTGGCCCGCCCAGCGCCCAGCCTGGCCAAGCCCAGCGCGGCCCGGGCCTCGCCTCACGTACGCCGATAAAACATAATTAGAGGAATTCACGTGCGTTTGTTTGTTTGTTTTGGGCACTCCCCGGCCGCCGCCGAGCCACGCGGAGCCACGCGGAGCGCGGAGGGGACGCCAGCGGGAACGGAACGACGGAACGACGCTGGGAAAGAATTAAAGAAAGGAAGCGCCAGCGTGAAATTAGGAATTGGAAGCACAGGGACTGAGTCTCCGGGATCGACTGCCCTCTCCGGCTAGGCTGCTGCACCTCAGACCAGAGAGCCGCAAGATCGGTGGAGGCGGTCAAAATCCCGGACGCGTTTTGAGCTCCAGAGTCGCTAAATTGGACTCGAACCGAACGTGTGACCCCACCAAAGGATTCCTCGTTCGGAGAGCAATCCATTGATGGGGTCACACGTTCGGTTCGAGTCTTCGAGTCCAATTTAGCGACTCTGGAGCTCAAAACGCGTCCGGGATTTTGACCGCCTCCACCGGTCTTCTGGCCCAGGGGCTCAGAGTGAGCATGGCTTGCGGGCCACATAGAGAGGAGACAGGCAAAAAGAGCGTTTAGAGATGAAATGAGTGGGCCCCGGCGAAGGTGTGACACCCGGACTCGACCCAGCAGCACACAGCGGCGACGGCGGCGACCCAGCGCCCGGGGCTGCCTCGGCCGACGGGCTGACTGTCTGGCCTTGCTCGGGCCTGGGCCTTTGAGGCGAAAAATGCCGGCCAGCCACGGCGCGCCGGCCGGGGCCAGAACGTTTGACAGCGGGCGACGAGGCAGCGCGCCGCCGCCCAGCCAGCCGGACCTGTGTGCCGAGCAGCCGCCACATTCCCATTGCGGCCCGCTGCGGGCCGTGTGGCACCCGAGCTCCGGGACGGAGCGGCCCGCGGGCCGCCCGTCTGAGACCCCTGTTCTGGCCCACTGTGCATAGGGCTGCGGCGCGGTCTCTGACGGCCAACACACTGTAATGGGCCAGCCTTGTAACAAGGGCTGCCTTTTCCGGCGGCGCCCAGCAAACTTTGCCCTGGTCCCGCCGCGTCCCCGGAGTGCTGCATTGCGTTACATCCCGGCTACACAGTGTACAAGCAGCGCCAAAGCAGCCAAAACAAACTGAGTGTGAAACGAAAATGTGCGCCCCCGAGAACGAAGCGGCGCGGCGTCTGGCGAGGCCGCGAGAGCGCCGAGCGGAGCTACGTGACTACAAGGTGGGGCGCGGAGCGGCGCGGAGCGGGCCGGGCCACTTCAACTCGAAACAACAATAACACCTCCCAGACGCTGACGGCGCCGCAGCGCCAGGAAACGTTAACGTAATTAAAAAGAGTCGCCCGCCGCACGCTCCACGCCACCAGCACACAGTGGAGTGGGCCAGAAGACCGGTGGAGGCGGCCAAAACTCTAGACGCGTTTTGAGCTCCAGAGTCGCTAAAAGGCCTCGAACCAACGTGTGACCCCCCCAAATGTTTCCCTCGTTCGGAGAGCAATCCATTGGTGGGGTCACTCGTTCGGTTCGAGCCCCATTTAGCGACTCTGGAGCTCAAAACGCGTCTAGATTTTTGGGCCCGCCTCCACGGTCTTCTGGCCCACTGTGCAGCAACGACCTGCTGCAAAAGTTGAGGCGCGCCGACGGGGCTTGAGCGCACAGTGGGCCAGAAGACCGGCGGCGGCGGCCAAAATCCCGGACGGGTTTTGAGCTCCAGAGTCGCTTAAATGAGACATGAAGCGAACGTCTGACCCTACCAATGGGTCGCTCCCAGAACGAGGAATCCATTATTGGGGCCACACGTCGGGTTCGAGTCCTATTTCGCGACTCTGGAAATCATAACGCGTCAAGCGTTTTTAGCAGATGATACGTTCACGTATCAGCGTGCTTGTACTCTCGTGCAGAGAGTACCGAGTTTCCGGCTAGCCAGGCAGCAGTAGCCGTTGCCTGACTAGCAAGCCTAAAAGGGGGCCCGAGCGCCTCGCTGGCAAGGCAGCGGCTGGCTCGCCTGCCTAGAAGATTATGAGCGGAGGGCCCGCAGCGTGCCGCGCCGCCCGCGCCGTCGCGCGCCGCACCATGAATGGGGGCGCTGGGGGGGCTCGGGTTGCGCGCGCGGCGTATAACCTCGACACCCATTATCTAGTACTATAAAGTGCGTCCCTCGCGTTGCGCGTCGTTACGGGACGCTGCTAGCACGCATCGCGTAGCTGCCCCCTCGCCCATCCCTTGCCGAGACGCCACGTCCCGCCGCGCCCCGCCACACCCGCAGCAGTCTACACAACACACACACACACGCACTTGAGCCTTGAGTGCGTAGAACGCATGGTGCAGCGCCCCCCCGAACCCCTGCCCCTCTCGAGAAGCGGCGCGTCGGCAGTCGGCAGTGTGCGCCACTCTTGCTTATCTATCTTGAGGTGGGGTTTTCGGGGGGCGCGCCGGCCGGCGGCCCCGCTTGGAGATGTGGCTGACACGCCGCGTGCCGCAAGGCCCTTGCCCTAGTACCGAACACAACTTTATGGTATGAGTATTATGTGATTAGCCACCAAATTGTGCATCTTCGCGTTGAAAGAACGAAAATGATACCCAACACAAGTGGTATCGGACATATGAGTGTCCCACCGTCATTGCGAACATGGCACGTTAGGATATTCAAAAGTTATACTAAAATTGTCATTTTCATGAATTACCGTGCGTAAGAGATTTGTCAAAAAAAAGAGTTCCGAGTGTTTACTCTTTGAAATAAATTGACAAAATATCACATTCATACATTTCAATAAACATTCTCATAAGTATCATCTGCTTTCACGTTAGCGTTAGCGTTAACGTTTTTTGGTCGCCTCACCAATCAGAGAGGCTTGAACCCACAACCACCGCCATCGCCGGGTCGGCCCATAAGAGCGAGAGAGACAGCGCGACGAAAACGACCCTCGGAATCAGTGTGCAAGGCGCGGCGAGCGCCTGGCGGGTAGGCAACTCGCCCGCACCTCTGCGCACCACCGCCACGGACGGCCTACCCGCCGGGCGGCGCACAGTGGGCCAGGAGGCCGATTGAGGCGGCCAGAACTCTAGACGCGTTTTGAGCTCCAGAGTCGCTAAATGGGGCTCGAACCGAACGAGTGACCCCACCAATGGATTGCTCTCCGAACGAGGAATCCATTGGTGGGGTCACACGTTCGGTTCGAGGCCTGTTTAGCGACTCTGGAGCTCAAAACGCGTCTAGAGTTTTGGCCGCCTCCACCGGTCTTCTGGCCCACTGTGCGGCGTGTCACCGCGTGGCGCGGTCCAGTGCATATTGAAAGCCGAAAAGAAGCATGACGAGGAGAAGGACGTCTTGGTGCCCTCGCACTCGCACCCCGTGACGGTGAACTCGCCGCTCCACGCCCCCACGTCCGAACGAACGGCAAGGAATTATTATGTCTGGCACGACGTCGAGTGGCTGGCTGGCTGGCTGGCTGGCTGCGCGTCTGGGGGGCGTCGCGGGGCGTCGTCATGAGACTTGGGGGGGTCACACGCCCCGCGGGGGTCGCGACCCGACCGCAGTGTCTTTATTATGACGGTGCGGCCGCTCTCTCTCTCTCTCTCTCTCTCTCTCTCTCTCTCTCTCTCTCTCTCTCTCTCTCACACACACACAGCATCACGCGCGCGTCGAAAAGCACACGTTCGACGCGAGGACGGAAAATTAATTCGACGGTGACGCCACCCGCCGCGTGGCTAAGCAGACGCGTTCGTCTCTCTCTCTCTCTCTCTCTCTCTCTCTCTCTCTCTCTCTCTCTCTCTCCTCTCTCTGCTCGTCTTTTCGCTCGCTCGTTCCAGCCGCACGCTCTTCTTCTATGGCACTGGTATGTGTGCATTCCTGCGGATAGCACTTCACGCCGAGTGCACACACACACACACACACACACACACACACACACACACGAGGCGCGAGCACGTCCGCGTAATTCAACGCCGTGTGTGCCGTTCGATCGTCATTAGTCAGGAGGCAGGTCGGCTAGTTACACACACACACATACCTACCTAGACACACACAAACACACACACACACACACAGATGCACACACACAGACACACACACACACACACACACACACACGAGCGCAGGGCATCGCGTTTCGCGCGGATCCCGCGGGTCGCGCGGGAATATTAGGAAGTCCGCTTGATGCTTAATTGGCCGAGTGGCAGC